GGATAAGTCATTCTCAAGTTATGGTGCGACATGTTTACGCCGGACAGACAGACAGACAGACTGCCGGACGGACGGACACAGGACATTTGTATAACATAATAAGTCCCGTCAAAATTGACGGGCGTATAAAAATTTGAAATTGGACTTTACCTTTTATGGTCCAATATCCAAAACCTAATAAATACATGGTTAGATTCAGCATATAAAAGAACCCTAAGAATTCAATTTTTGATGAAATCAAACAAAGTTTAGTTTTGGACCCCTTGGACCTCAATGTGGACAAAATTTAATAACATGGCCCAAAATAAAAAAAATCTGGTTAGATTCAGCATATCAAAGAACCCCATAAATTCAATTTTTGTTCATATCAAATATTGGACCCCGATTTGGACCAACCTGAAAACTGGACGCAAAATCAAAAATCTAAAAATTCAAAAAATTAAAAAGTTTTTGGATCAATTTAAAAACCGGGGCCAAAAATCAAAAATCTAAATGCACAGTTGGTTCAGCATATCAAAGAACCTCAATAATTCAATTTTTGTTAATATCAAACAAAGTTTAACTTTGGACCCTTTGGACCTCAATGTGGATCAATTTAAAAACAGGGCTAAAAATCCAAAATCTTAAAGCACTGTAATATTCAGCATATCAAAACAAGAGTGCACACGCTGAAATGTCTTGCCTGCTTTACTGACCATTGATTTTATGTTGATAGTGCTAAATATAAAGCTTTACTGCAAGCATCACAAAAACTTAACATGATCCAACAAAATGAGGTCAAGGTCAGATAAACCAAACCGGAAATACATGTACAACTTACAATCATTCCATATACCAAATATAGTTGACCTATTGCTTATAGTTTCTTAGAAACGAACTTAACCAGGAAATCTTAACATTGACCAATGAACCATGAAAATGAGGTCAAAGTCAGATGAACCAAGCCAGACAGACATGTACACCTTACAATCAATCTATGCATTAAATATAGTTGACATATTGCTTATAGTATCTAAGAAACAAACTTAACCATGAAAACTTAACATTGACCAATGAACCATGAAAATGAGGTCAGGGTCAGATGATACCTGCCAGACAGACATATACACCTAACAATCATTTCATACACCAAATATAGTTGACCTATTGCTTATAGTTTAAGAAAAACAGACCAAAACATAATAAAATGATCTGCTGGGCGCAGCTTGAAACGACCGCAGAGGTCGAACCCTGAACAGTTTGGGGCAAGTATGGACACAACATTCAAGCTTGATACAGCTCTGAATTTGGATTGTGATTAAATATTTGACACAGCATAGGTTTCTGACACAGAATGAATGTGGTCTAAGAACTCCAAAAGTTTTAATTTACCTATTCAAACCATATCATTATTATTTGCTTTTATATATAAATCAGAAATAACCAACTTAAAATGGAAAATTTTATAGAATTTTTTGAACCCCCTTATGATTCATCACCCCCAAACTCAATTCCAGCCTTCCCTTTGTGGTATGGTACCTTGCAGTACAATTTCAGAGTGATCCATACACTTGAACACAAGTTATTGTCTGGAAACTAGAAAAATGCTTGTTTTTTGGCCCCAAATTCCTAAGCATTTAGGGCAATTACCCCCAAACTCAAACCCAGCTTTCCCTTTGTGATATGGAACCTTGTAGTACAATTTCATAAAGATCCATACACTTACACACAAGTTATTGTCCTGAATCTAGAAAAATGCTTGTTTTTTGCCCCTTTTTGATCCATAATTCCTAAAACTTTAATGCAATTACCCCAAAATCAATCCCAGCCTTCCCTTTGTGGTATGGTACCTTGCAGTACAATTTCAGAGAGATCCATACACTTGAACACAAGTTATTGTCTGGAAACAAAACAAATGCTTATTTTTGGCCCCTTTTTCTTAAACGTTTTGGGCAATTACCCCCCAAACTCAATTCCAGCTTTCCCTTTGTGATATGGAACCTTGTAGTACAATTTCAGAAAGATCCATAGACTTGCACACAAGTTATTGTCATGAAACTAGAAAAATGCTTGTTTTTTGCCCCTTTTTTGCCCCTAATTCCTAAAATTTTGAGGCAATTACCCCCAATATCAATCCAAGCATTCCCTTTGTGATATGGAACCTTGCAGTACAATTTCAGAGAGATCCATACACTTGAACACAAGTTATTGTCTGGAAACTAGAAAAATGCTTATTTTTGGCCCCTTATTCCTTAACTGTTGGTACCATAACCCCCAAAATCAATCCCAACCTTCCTTTTGTGGTATTGAACCTTATGGTAAAATTTCATAGAGATCCATTCACTTAAACTAAAGTTAGAGTGCGAAAACCAATGTGTCTTTGGACGACAACGACGACGCCAACATCATACCAATATACGACCGCTTGTATAAAAACCTGTGCCTATATGTCACCTTACGACTGGTCTGTTTTCTGTAATTTTTTCTGATGAAAAATTATTATTTCTTACAACCACTAGAAAAATGTCCGTAAGTTATTCACTGTAGTGAATTTTACTCACATGTCATTTGCATGTACATGTACTAAAATATATCTTGTATTAAGGATAAATGTTTATTTTTGGTTTCTTTATCAGTTGCTGTCTACTTAGTTTTGGTTATCTCTCAGTGTTCATCAATAGGGTAACATAACAATGTTAGATGCAAATATATATCAACTGTCTGGAATGAAAACGTTTTAGTATCAGAACTGTACAGCAAATTGACCGTTCAAATATTTAGCTTTCTAGGGTTCACGATTGCTTTACTTTTATTAAAGAAAGCAACTGCTGTTATTGAAATTCTGTTCACATATTTACATAAGGCATTTTTTCTGCACTGTCCTTGATATAGCCTTTTCTGTGCTGATTTTTCTAGTGTTATTTGTTATTCCACTTTCTGTGACTTTTATCACCTTGCACTTTGGAATATAATGAAATTTTATGGGACTGGCATACAAGTGAGAGGTTCAGCTAGCTATAAAACCAGGTTTAATCCACTGTTTTCTACATAGGGAAATGCCTGTACCAAGTCAGGAATATGACAGTTGTTTTCCATTTGATTGATGTGTTTGAGCTTTTGATTTTGCCATTTGATAAGGGACTTTCTGTTTGAATTTTCCTTGGAGTTCGGTATTTTTGTTATATTACTTTTTGATGACTTGACTGTGGTTTTCTACAGCAGTTGGTTAAAATTTCTGCTGCACAGTATGGCTTGATTTTAACAAATTGCAATCGGGTTAGAATTTGAATGAACTGCAATCATGGTAATAGGTGGCATGGAGAGCAACATTTAATAAGCAGTGTTTGGGAAGGATTTTTTGACAATGGGACTATGGCCCCAATTTTGATCAGTTCATATGGGGCCATTTGAAATAACATGGGCCATTGACAAACTCTAATGGGCAGGGCCATTTCAGAAATAAATTTATAAGTATTGAGGCCAATTGTTTTTTTTCTCATCTCATTTTTTAAATTATATGTACTAAAATACTAATGTTCATGTAAATTATGTTCAATTTATTGCATTGTTCATATCAGACTATGGCACTGGGGCTTCCATACAATTTTTATGATCAGATGTTTCTTAATGGAGCTGCATTGATGATGTTTTAAAATTTTCACACCCAGTTGTGAAGGTATTTTTTTACCATTCTTTGTGCACAATTTACAATACATTTTATTATCTGTACAGAGTAGCCATGGCCATATTGTTTGTCTGTTTGTCTTTTTCTTTTTTAGCCATGGTGTTGTCAGTTTATTTTCCACTTATGAGTTTGAATGTCCCTTTGGTATCTTTCGCCCCTCTTTTTTAAGACATTGTTCTTGTAATTTGCGTGTAATTTTTTTGCAGTCCAGAGGCAGGTGTAACATCACTTTCCTTGGGTTGTTCAGTGGGTTGTTCCTTTAGTTAATCAGTATCAGGATGGTCATGGACACTATAAGTCAATTCAGGGGCAGATCCAGGATTTTAGGTTAGGGGGGGGGGGGGGGGTGCAAACTTAAATTTTCTTTGAGGTAAAATTATCGAAATATTCTTTATTAAGCTGAGGACAACCCATGCTTTGCAAATTTTAGGGGAGGGGCGCAAGCCCGCCATCCCCCGCCTGAATCTGCCCCTGCAATTCACAGAAAGATAAATAAATATCTCAAAAAAATTGTATTTCAACACTACTATAAATAAATGTCCATAGTAAGGAACCACATCAGTGGTTATTTGGTTTTATATATAGAATAACTATACATTGTCTTGAAATATAAAATTTCTATTTCAGAACATGCCATACCTCGTGCCATACTTACATAATTATGACCATATAAGAAATTTATTTGTATACTAGGAGACAGATTAATAAAAGCAAATTTGCTTGTTTATTTCATGTATCAGAATTGTATATTATGTATTGATTTATTTGAATAAAATATTGTTTAAACTTATATAAAATTTATTGGTCCAGGCTTAGAAATAGGTAGAATGTGAGGCTTTGCCAAGCTTTTCTTTCCTGTCTGGAGCTGTGTACAAATAATTTTTATATTTTAAGACAATGATAGTTATTCTCTTTATACTGCAACTCTTACAATTGTTCGAAGTGAAATATTTTGAATTTGAAGCGGACGTGAAAACTCTGAGAACCTGTCTTCTTTATTGAAGTCATAAATATACAAAATTCTACTGAAACACTTTGTCAACATCATAAACAAGGCAATATACAGTCAGTGAAAACTGACTGCAAATAACACAGTTGCAGTATAAATCAGTATTCATCATGTTCATTGTTCTTTAAGGAATTTGGTGATGATAGCTAATCGAAAATTTCTCTTCCACTATTATCAAGTTAGGATGATTTAAAGCTTGCTATAATATGCATGGTATTAAATGAATGTCTAATTGATTGTATGTTGTTTTCTTATTGTTTCTTTTACATTTACCCAAACTCTATTTTTCTCCATGTGTCAGATCAGTGAGTAATTCTTAAAATTTACCTTTCCTGATTTTGGTATAGAATTTTTCATAATTCTTGAAACATTTGCTATTGGTAAAAACCTGTCCTGCAAAATATAAATGTAATATTATCAAATAGGGAAAAAGTTTTAAACACAAAAAGGGTTATTCATGTGTTATTGTGTATCAAATATTGACACTTGGCAGCTTGGACTATTACATGCATTTCTTTACCAATAAAAAATTATTATGCAAACAACGGATAATAAAATGCTCCGCTGGGGCGCAGCTTGATACGACCGCAGAGGTCGACCCTGAACAGTTGGGGCAAGTATGGACACAACATTCATGCTTGATACAGCACTGAATTTGGATTGTAATTAAATATTTGACACAGCATAGGTTTCTGACACAGAATGAAAGTGGTCTAAGAACTTAAAAAATTTGAATTTACCTATTCATACCATATCATTATTATTTGCTTTTATATATAAATCAGAAATAACCAATTTAAAATGTAAAATTTTAAAGAAAAAAAAGGAAAAAAAAATCCCCCCCCCCCAAACTCAATTCCAGCCTTCCCTTTGTGGTATGGTACCCTTGCAGTACAATTTCAGAGAGATCCATACACTTGAAACTTGTCTGGAAACTAGAAAAATGCTTGTTTTTTGGCCCATTTTTGGCCCCAAATTCCTAAACGTTTAGGGCAATTACCCCCAAACTCAAACCCAGCTTTCCCTTTGTGATATGGAACCTTGCAGAACAATTTCATAAAGATCCATACACTTACACACAAGTAATTGTCCTGAAACTAGAAAAATGCTTGTTTTTTTGCCCTTTTATGGCCCCTAATTACTAAAATTTTAGGGAATTACCCCCAAAATCAATCCCAGCCTTCCCTTTGTGATATGGTACCTTGTAGTACAATTTCATAAAGATCCATACACTAACACACAAGTTATTGTCATGAAACTAGAAAAATGCTTGTTTTTTGCCCCTTTTTGGCCCCTAATTCCTAAAATTTGGAGACTATTACCCCCAAAATCAATCCAAGCATTCCTTTTATGATATGGAACCTTGTGGTACAATGTCAGAGAGATCCATACACTTACACACAAGTTATGTCTTGAATTTACAAAAATGCTTATTTTTGGCCCCTTTTTCCTTAACTGTTGGTACCATAACCCCCAAAATCAATCCCCACCTTCCTTTTGTGGTATTAAACCTTATGGTAAAATTTCATTGAGATCCATTCACTTAAACTAAAGTTAGAGTGCGAAAACTAATGTGTCTTCGGATGACGACGACGACGCCAACGTCATACCAATATACGACCACAAACATTTTTTTGCGGTCGTATAAAAAGAGATTCAATATCTAGATTTCAAAACAGTTTGTATGATAATTGTCAAATCATGCCAGTTGTATCAAATGTCAAATAATATGATGGTAAAAGTAAATGTATTCATGGTATTTGGAATGAATTTCATAACAGTGTGGACATGGACACCTGATATTTAAATGATATCATGTCGGTCACTGGCTGTCGACAACAAAGACTTCACGCAATTACAGTATGTTAGGGGCCTCTCAGTGGGGATATACATAATTCCTATTTTACACATGTCCATTCATAAATTTATTTTTTTTTGCGTGAAAGTTTATAGGAATTTGTTTTGAATATATTTATATATTCACAGCAAAAAGTTTCTTTTGAAAGAATGAGTATATTCAGAGGTGATATCACCAAGTAATCGAGAGAAAAAAAGAACGAAAAATTCTTTCCTGGCAATAAGTGAAAAATTAAGTAGTGTGTCAGATATAGACAAGTAGCCCATCATGCATTGCAAATCATTCAGTGGATAGGTCAATCGCCAAAATAAAAAAAAAATGCTTTATTTGTAAACAAGCACTAATACATCCATTGACGGGGCATACGTATGGTAAATAATTATACATGTCTGTATAAGGAAATGTGCCCGACCTGTTAAATGCAGCTGTTCTGTTGATTTGAAAAACGAATGGACAGATCACAGCGATCTAATTTCGAATTGCACTTATTTTTTTTAATTTGTGTTTCAGTATCTATCCATGAACTAAATATGTTCACAATACCTTTTATACTAGAATATTAAATGAGTGCACTCAGTTTAAAGGTTATTATTACACTGTTACTGTTATGTTGACATAATAACCTGTACATTATCTGGTGTTATATAGTTTACAAGTTTAGTCTTGTGCACATGATTTATTATTCCAAAACAGATGTATTGTGAACATTTCATTAATTTCATGGATATATATTGAAACACAGAAACTGAAAAAGAAGTGAGTACAATTTCAAATTGTAAGGGGGCGACCATTCCTGATATAGTTAGGGAGAATGTGGCTATGCGAGAGGCTTTTGAAATCAGCATGAATAAAATTGCAAATAAACATTTATGCAGAATTGTCTAAAATATATGCGTCCTAAAATAACCAAAAAAAAAAATAGTTGATCAAGACCAAATTCATTGAAATTACCTACTTAATTTGTAGGTCCGGGTTTCTTATTACCAACAAAAATAATCTTAGTATGAAAGTTGATTGTAGGTTACTCTACATCAACTCCTACGAATGTTTTCTTATTTTTTTTAAGGAGCCACAGAACATTTGGGCAAGAAAAAACAAAGTTTATTTTTTCTCGATTACTTTGTGCTATCACCTCTGAATATACTCATTCGGAAACTTTTTGTTGTGAGAGCCTCAGTATATAAATATATTCAAAACAAATTCCTATTAACTTTCATGTGTAAAGATAGTAATTATGTATATCCCCATTGAGAGGCCCCTGACATACTGTAATTGCGTGAAGTGTGAAGTCTTTGTTGTCGACAGCCAGTGATACACACGATAATAATTAAGTACTATGTGTCCATGTCCACGCTGTTATGAAATTCATTCTATTACTACAATTTTATAGTACACATGTCTTTATTTATAGTATGTCTTATGTGTAATATTAATATTGTTCTAATAAATTTCCAACTGGTCTGACTAGGACCTTTATCTGGTTTAAAGTTGTAATGTTTGAAGATTTTCTACCCCAGAAATATATTAACTTAGCTGTAATTTGGCAAAACATATCAGATTTTTGGTTCCTCATCAATACTCACTTTGTACTTTATTTGGCCATTTAATTTTTTTGATTCGAGCGTCACTGGTGCATTTTTTGTAGAAAAAATGTGTGTCTGGTGTACAAAATTATACATGTAATTTGGAGTTTAGTATGGCGTTCATTATCACTGAACTAGTATATATATTTGTTTAGGGGCCAGCTGAAGGACGCCTCCGGGTGCGGGAATTTCTCGCTGCATTGAAGACCTGTTGGTGGCCTTCTGCTGTTGTCTGTTCTGTGGTCGGGTTGTTGTCTCTTTGACACATTCCCCATTTCCATTCTCAATTTTATGTAAGCCTGAAAATTTGACGAGTTTTTCTCAAACAATTTATTTTTTAATCAAAATTTAGTTTGAAGACAAAGACCAGAATAATAAGACTTATTTCTATATATCCTCCTAAAATAGGTTGTATGAGTTGAGAGTTTTAAAATTATATCCTTACTTGCTCTCTAAGCGGTTCGTTATTTTCCAATCTGTGTTCTTCATCATTCTCACCAGAAGCTAAACCTTCATCACCATCACCTACATTGTAATAATTCAATTTTCTGCTTTTAAAATTGTATATACATGTGCGTATATATGTATTCACCATCATTTTAGATTCATAATGGCAACCTCATATAACCCTTGTACGAATCTGTCTCATAACAAGTGTTAGTGCATTAAGTTATTGTTTAAGTAAAGAACTACCCCTTATTGTGTTGTTATTCATTACGGCAGTCAGTTAAGAGTGCATACATTATATTGCTGTTTAGAATTAATGATAGACACCCCATTATAGCTTACTATAATCCTAAATATCTTTACATCAAGCTAATTGGCTGTACCTGAACTACACAAATGTATATATTCAACACTTGAAAAGATTTTGTTTGACTGAAAATGCCTGTTTACAGATGCTGACCAAATATTTATTTTCTGTTTCCTGATATAAACCAATACAGTCTCTTGTTAAATTGTAAATGGATCAGTCCAGTCACTGGTTTATGTTATTTATACAATCTTGCATACATAATCAATCTAGACGGACTTTTATCCAAACAAGTTTAACTGTGAACTCTTGCTTACTAATGATCAGGATGACACCCCCACATTTGGTATACAAGAAGTTGATTAGCAAGTGCAAGGGATGTGAAAATGCATCACACAGTAAAGCATGCTAACATAAAGACTGATACTATATTTCAGGGTGTTCTGATCCATATAGTCCTGAGAAAATGTGACAAAAATTTCATACATGATCATTTTCTGAAGGAATACATAAACATTTTGTAATCAAGCAGTGGAAGAATGATGATACTTGAAATACATCACACAGTAAAGAATGCTCTCCGATACATGCCGTAGCTTGATACCAAATTTCAAAAGTTGTGATTTGTAGAAAAATGCAATAAAAATTTGATACATGGCAATTATGTGTAAGATTATATATAAGTCAGTAAGTATTTGGTAAACAAGATATTAATAAAAGACGAATGTGAAAACACACACTAAAGCATGCTCAGATGAAGCCTGATAAAAATGTGAAGAGTTACATGGGATATCGATGGACAGACAGACAGGGGGAAAATAGTATTCCCCCTGTTCCATCAAAGAGGGGGTGTAATACATCGGATTGTTTTTATTATACATTTATATAAATTTGACTTTGTTAATTATATTTCATCAACTTAAAGTAACACCTGTCATTGCCTGTAGAAATCATCTAGTCATTCATCCCCCAAAATCAACCCCAACCTTCCTTTTGTGGTATTGAACCTTATGGTAAAATTTCAGGGAGATCCATTCACTTAAACTAAAGTTAGAGTGCGAAAACCAATGTGTCTTACGACGACGACGACGCCAACGTCATACCAATATACGACCAAAAATTTTTTAATTTTTGCGGTCGTATAAAAATGCTTTAAAAATGGCTTTACATACATGACATATGAACTGATACTTTCTTAACAGATTTTTCCCGACAGTGGGAGTATTTTTCCTGTAAAATTCAAGGTTTCATCTTATAGATTATGTAATAAAATTCTACTGTTCGCGATCAAAATTTCACTGTTCAGGGGTGTTGAAATTAGTGGTGGTTATTAAAATAATGATACTTAAAGAAGTGATTTTTTGGAAGGAAATTGAGGTATGATACTTAAACAAGTGATTTTTATGTCATTATCCTAGATTTACTACAAGGTCTTCACCTGACATGACCCGGTCATCCTATCAACACAGATGTTGGTTCTGATAATTTTAGCAACATAATTAGTCCCTGGATCATTAGTATTCTATATTTAAAGCTACAATAAAATTAAATCACTTAGTCTAGTGATTAATTTGTACTACTTAAATAGGTGATTATTAAAGAAAGACATCTCTTACTTCCAACCTTTATGGACATAATGTTATACTTGAATCAGTGATTTAGAAAATCACTCATTTAAGTACGTCCCCTGACTGATTAATGATTGCACACCATTAGAATAAAATGCATGTATGTCATGTATGTGATATCCATGCACATGTACAAATGTACACAAGCTATAAGTATCTAAAAGTTCTCCCAAAAGTTGGAGATAAAATGATTGAACACAAAAGTTCATGTACATCAAAATTTCATACTTATACAGTCATGTCAGTATGCTGCATTTACCTTCAACCATGTATTGCCCAGATAGGAAAGAGTCACTGAGACCATTATCATTACTGTCACCTGCTGCACCATCCATTATATATCTGAAAAGATAAAAAATAAATGTGGATAGTGTCCACATGTGGACACAGATAATGCCCCTGCTTGCATATCATATAGTTATAAAGGGACATAACTGAAGAACGGTAAAAGTGACGCTACCCAAATTTGAACTTGATCTGAGTTTTGTGGTAATAAGCATTGTGTGTAAGTCTCATAACATTTGGTTGAGGCTAACTTAAGTAGAGAACAGAAACTAAACGTTCAGCAATTTTTCTATTTGTAAACATGTATAACTCTAGAACAGTTGTGTATAAGTTTTATAACATTTGGTTGAGACAAACTAAATATAGAGAACGGAAACAAAAAATTCAGCAATTTTTATGTTTATAAAGGGGCATAACTCTAGAACGGTTAAAGTGCATCACCAAAATTCAAACTTGATCTGTGTTTTGTAGTAATAAACATTGTGTATAAGTTTGATAACAATTGGTTGATGCAAACTTAAGTTAGAGAACGGAAACCAATTTTGGGACGTACATTGTACGTACGGACGGACAAGGGTAAAACTTAATGCCCCCTCCGCTTCGGCGGGGGCATAAAAATGTGTACAACGTAAATTCCTGATTCTCAAGATAAATATTATAAGCAAGAATATTGCAAAGATCTGCAAAGCGATCGATACTTCTTCCCATAATCCACTTGACTCTGATTGGCTGTATTTCTACATTGCTATCACGTAACCTTGACCTTTAAAACAATGGAAAATTTGGCAATAATACATATTCTCTTCATTTTAAAACATTTTCATGAAACCCTTTTATGTTAAATGGCATTATAATTTTGAACAGTAAGTCTAATATTAATTAATAAAACCAGAGACATATGTAAATATAACAATATTTTATTTTATATAGTAAGACTCAGGTAAAGCAAAAGCTCATTGACCCAAAGTTGTAATCTAGCATGACTAGTACTTAAATTAAATACTTTTTCAAAAACCTAGACTTATTTATTTTTTGCTTAGTAACAATCTGATGTGTCAAACCTTTTCGAGTTTATTTTTACAGTATGTTCCTCTGGGGTGTTGTGTTCCAAGTTAGGAACCTGTTATTGAGTGGCTGTCAATGTTTGCTTACACCGATAATTGTTCACATCTTTTACTATATTCTTTATGGGACCTCCATTTTGTCATCAATAACAATTCCAATCTAAATTGACTAGGATTGTCAGTTTACCAAAAGGGAGGTGGTTCTCTCCAGCACTCTAGCTTACTAGCTTATAGTCCATTAATAAAAACTGACCTCCACAATAAAGTCAAAAGTGCTGAAAGTGGCTTTAAACACCAACAATCAATCAATGCAATCATCAATGACAACATATTAAAATTTGAAAAGCATCAGTTGAATGGTTCATAAGTTATTGAACAGAAACAGCTATAGATGCCTGTTAGCCATGCAACCCAAATCAATACTGGTAAGTGGATTTCCATCCTACAACCAGATCAATAAAACCAAAATTACCATATAATGTTACCATTAATGATTTCTCTCTTGATGTACATGTAGCTATCCATAAGGACAGCACGCTACATGTATAGGAGTTCTGTGTACAATTGATTTGAAATGTTGCTATGGGAATAAAGTCCTTTCGTACCAAACTTGATTTGTTTTTCTGCTCACAAAATGTACATGTACATTTGTATGTCAGTGGATTGGAATATATGCCAATTCTCTGCATAAATGAATATTAGGAACTAGTATAGTTCAGAGATATTCAGGCTAAAAAATATCAATAAAATTAATTGATATGAACATGATGGAGCAAAGATTAACATTTTGGAATCACTGTGCAAGATCAAACAGACCTAATTCTGAAATACACATTCATGTGCAAACATCAGGACAGTCTTTTTTGAACGCCAGTAAATCAAGCTTATCATGCAACTATTTTAATAAACAAAACAGGTCAATATGCATTTTATGTATGTTTTATTTTAAATAAGAAAGTTTGTAGTTAGTAATAAAATTTTGTGAGGGAATTCAATGTTTGCTATATACCATTGTTCACTTAAACGCACTTAATGACGTCAATACCTGAATATCAATGAATTTATCAAAATGAAATTTTTTGCAGGATTTTAAAAAATGATTTTGCTATGTACATGTATACATGCATTCTGCGCTTATAAATTAACGCTTTAAGAAAGCAAATTTTCTGTATAAGGTCAATAATTTTGTTGACTTTTGATGCCAAAACTCTCTATTGCTTTAAATATGCAAATGAGAGATTGAAAAACTATGCCAATACAGATATATAATAATAAATATACATGTAGGTTTTGAAATTCAAACAAAAAGCTTGGGTGATGATTGTTTTGAAGTATTTACCATGATTTACAACATTCTCAACTTTTCAGTCCCATCAGATTTTCTCTTATCATTGCGGTTTTCAAGATAATAGACAAAACTTGTATTTTACCCCTATGTCCTATATTTAGCCATGCATGTCAGTCATGTTGGTTAGTTGGCAGGGTCATCGGACACATTTTTAAAACTAGATACCCTAATGAAGATGGTGGCCAAGTTAGGTTAAATCTGGCCCTGTAGTTTGAGAGGAGAAGATTTTTGTAAGATATAAATCAATAAAACAGCTGCGCGATGAGCGCATGATACACCCGTCACTTTTTCAAAGAATAAAGTTCAATTACTTCTCAATGTCATATCAGAAATTTATGAAAAACTAATGGGAGAATATCTTAATAGATATAAAGCAGTCACCAAAGTTTCATGAAAACTGCTCAAAGCACTTTAAAGATATTGTCTGAAAACTGGAAAATCACCACTTTTTTATGAATAAAATCCCATAACTCGGAAACGTAAAATCTAAAATTTATATAAATCAAAAGGGAACTTACGTCGATAGATATAAACAATACACCAAAGTTTCATGAAAAGTGCTGAAAGCATTTTTGAGTAATTGTCAGAAAACTTGAAAATCCCCCTTTTTTAAATGAATAAAACCCCATGTCTCGGAAACGTTAAATCTAAAATTTATAAAAATTGAAAGGGAACTCCTGTCAAAGTTAAAGTGACACCACCAAAATTCAAACATGATCTGTATTTTGTGGTAATAAGCATTGTGTATAAGTTTCATAACATTTGGTTGAGGCTAACTTAAGAGAACGGAAACGAAAAATTCAGCAATTTTTCCATTTGTAAAGGGGCATAACTCCAGAACGGTAAAAGTGACACCACCAAAATTCAAACTTAATCTGTGTTTTGTGGTAATAAGCATTGTGTATATAAGTTTCATAACATTTGGTTGAGGCAAACTTAAGTTAGAGAACAGAAACCAACTTTGGGACGTACGGACGGACAGACGGACAAGGGTAAAACTTAATGCCCCCTTTGCTATGGTATAATTTGACATTTAAGGGCAATACATTTTTTTTGTAACTCCTACATGTCCTATAAGAACTTGAACTTCAAGTTTAAGCAGTCATCTGACAGTTTTGACATAAATGGACAGCAGGAAGATCTCAACATTCTAACATTTCTGCCCGTCAGATTTTCTCTAATCAAAATTGTTTACAAGATAACAGACAAAACTTTTTACCCCTTTGTTCTATTTTTAGCCATGTTAGCCATGTTTGTTTGCAGGTTGGATCATCGGACACATTTATAAAACTAGATACCCTAATGATGATTGTGGCCAAGTTACATGTAGGTTAAATTTGGCCCAGTAGTTTCAGAGTAGATTTTTGTAAAAGTTAACGATGGATGAAGGACGTCAAATGATGAGAAAAGCTCACTTGGCCTTTTGCCCAGGTGAGTTAAAAATGAAGACCCCATCCAACCCTCAAACTTGATAAACCATAGTTCAACTTCTTCAGAAGTTTTGCATCTGAATGTTTTGAAAAACAAAATTATATTCAGTATATCATCTAGATCTGTATATCTGAAAACAGATTAATTTGCATATCTTTTTTCACACACATGTTCAGCAATTTAAATGACCATCAAACTGGACACTGGACAAATTCATCAATGAAACAAAAGGTATGACAGGTTTTTTTCCTTAATAATGACTGTTAAAAAGTTCCATAACTCTGTAGACAAACCAGAAAATTTCAAAATTAAAAGCAAGCCTGCATTCACCAATCCCAAACAACAGTGTAAAGTTTGTAGTAATTTGATCAAAGCATACTCGAGCTAGTGTCCCAAGTAAAAAAATTGCATTAATGTCTAGGGAATCTGACTAGTGGCTTAAGATGCAAACTGTTTGCCTCTATCCAACATAAATCATTTTCAGGTGGCAGTCAAAATTCCTGCTTTATCCAGGTCAACAACTCTGCATGACCTTAGTAACCTTTTGTACAATGTATATATTTAGCTAATTTTTCTTGTCCTGAATGCATGAAATATTTGCCATTGAACTTTACTACATGTAACAAGAATTAATCAATCATGCACTTTAAGTATTTTGTTTTAATATCAAAATCAGATGTGTTACGATTGCCAATGAGATAACTATAAACCAAGGACATCATGGATGTTTACAACTATAGGTAACAATTTAGCCTTAAACAACATGAACAATGACCAAAATCCATTCCATATAAAGGATATACATGTAGCAAGGTTTTAATAAAAGGTCCTGGCATGACTAAATTGATGACATTTCTTTAAAAAAAAAAAAGACTTTTCAGTATTGCACTGATGGCTGCTCAAGGACAGTTTGTAATAGCAAAATACCTCCTTACTACACATGCATGAAATTTTTTAGGTGCTCAAACATGTTATGCAATATTTGTATTACATTTTTGTACATGTAGAGCTCTGTATTATTAAAAAGACAAGAAGTTTAAAATTGAAGGTAAAAGGCTCTAAACACATTCTAACAGAGTTTTAAAATGTATGTATCAAGTGAAAAGCTAAAGGTGAATTTCATGTAACCAGAAATATAATTATATATAACTATGTCTGATTAGTCCAAATAATTATGACGTTTAAAGGCTATTTTATTTTTTTGCTGTGACACCTTTTTCTACAACTGAAGGAAGGCGTCACAACCAAAAAAATAAAATAACCTTTCAAGTGTCATAGTTTTTTGGACTAGTCTCTGATGTTACTGAATTTGTAAAAGATTGTGAATTTTCAATTAAATATAAGCTGTTCTAGTCCAGACCCAGTGCAGCATTTTTTCAATCACTTACAAAAAATATTACAGTACTTGATTATAAAACCTTTCAGTTTTCACCATATTGTGCTGTTCTAAACGATCAGTTGGGTAAGTCAATGCAAATTGTATGTGAGCAGGTGGAGTGATCTCATTCAAGGAAAACAATATTGTTACAGACAATATAGTTGAACAGCTGAAGTACACAAAAATGGCGACTTTTTCATGAGTGTCCCAAAACACCTCTTTTCAATTTTGAAATTCAATTCGGTAATACTTCGAATTTTCTGATCTAATCATAACAAATACACGTGCTATCTATTGGACAATAACAAATCTCACAACAAACCTATTTGATTGGAAATTACTTGAGGAAATTGGTTGGTCAATGCAGGAACCAGTGAGATTTCAGGTAGTCACTAGCCAGTCACTGAAGATGTCACATAACTAATGGCTCTTCTTTTCATTTGTTTGATACAGCGGTACTAAATTTCATTTGGATTTATATTGACATGTACTAATGTATATTATACAAACTGTAAAAATTTGAAAGCGATGTCGTTAATAAATGTCCTGAATTTATTGTCAGCAAATTAGTTTTATCAACACAGGTCAATATTAATTTGTATTATTTTTTTTTCTTAACGAAGACATATCGATTGATGGAAGAGCAGATTTAAATAAAGACCAAAACAATATTCTTAATATATGTGCTATGAAGCATAGTCAAAATAACACTTTTGTATAGACAATCTCAGATTTTTCTTCTTATTTGAATTAATGCCAAGTTGGACTTTTTCCAAATGCAAAATTTTGATTAAAACTACGATTTATCCTTTATTCAAGATTTATACATTTTTGAAAGAGTGCGTTTGTATCGTTGGTATTTACACAGACTTACTGGAAAACAGGAAAATGCATCTATTTGTCAAAATCTTAAAAGGAACTGAAAGCAAAGTCACGGTTAGACACCTAGACAGATCTTGTTATATTTTCACTAAAGATACAAGGAAAATTTTTATCTACCGTTGTATTCGTTTTAAGAAATTGTGAAGTTTGAGAAATGTTAACTCAACCAAGGGCAAGGGACTTTCTATACTAGAAATAGTATAGACTGTCCCTGCTCAACCGCACAAAAATTATTGTGTCAAGAACTAGTCTTAGAGTTAGACTTAGTCGAAATAATTATGTAATTTATAACGTCTTGAAAGGCTAATTTTTTTTTTGTGACGCCTTTCTACGACGCGTCACAGAAAAAAAAGCCTTTCAAGACGTCTTAATTATTTGGACTAGTCGAGTCTCAGCCTCATGTCAAATAGCTATAAGTATAATATACAACACAACATGTTGGGAACAACCCCCTAAATGAGGGATATCCGTTAAATGAGGGATTGTCCCTCAGACAAGGGGTTATAATTGCTGTTGTAGAAAAGAAAAAAGAAAAAATTAGCCTTTTTAACCATGTTAACTGTAAACATGGTAAAGGGGGAAAATTTATTATATTTGGTACAACTTTTCTAAAAGAGGGGTCTTCTTATTTTCAATATTAAATGAAGAAGATTGAAGTTTAAAATTTATGGACATGTTTTGTCAATATACAGGGGCCCCGGGCTGATCCAGAACCTTGATGTCTGGGTTGGGGCACCATGAAACTAAAATAAAATATTTATTTAGAGATGTAAATATGCGAGTGTGGGTGGTAATGGTGGGGGGTGTCAGGTCATCGTTTCTATAGTTCTATATCTTTAATTTTTTTACCATTTCACTCTATTCATTATTCTTCTGCCAATTGGTCTCTATTATATACGTCCTAAACATGCATGAAATATTTGCCACTGGATGTTAAGCAACAAACAATCAATCTATTCTTTATATTTCACCACCTCTTTATTCTGTTATTTATATTTTTTGACCCCATTATTCTCTTTCCTGTCAACCCTCTTCATATCCTCATAAATGGTGACCCATTCATAGCCTCATACATGTACATGGTAATTGAAACAGGAAAATTATACCGTCATATATAAATTTTTTACTCCCAGATTATGTTATAAAGTATGTCTTATAAAAATACATATATGTATTAGACAATGCCAATTGTCCATTTTTTTGTGGAAAGTGGGGGGATTGTTGGTTTCCTTTGAAAATAAGAGGGAAAAGAAAATACAACATTCAGTTTAAAAACAAATCTTGTATGAAAAAAAAGTTTGTTGTTGAAAAGTCACAAAAAAGACAGTTTCGAAAAAAAATCACAATAACTGGTAATATGAGAATTTTGTTATGAAGACATATATATCCCATATATCGATACTAACATTCTTGGCACTAAACATTTATTTGTACATCTTTGTTTAAAACACAGGTTTTAGTTAGTAATTTCTTTCCTGATCAGAAGATTTCACCTGGTAATTGATCTTAATATGTGATATTGTATTAAAAACTAGTAAAAATATTCGTACTATTCCAATCAACATTTACATGTAGTTTACATCAAAACTTTTGAAAAGAGACGTTACACACAGGTGTCAATATTTACACACCTACCGATAAGTTGTCATAAAACTAGCATGTTGAAGCTGGGGTTAATTAACGGCCAGTTAACAAATCAAATCAAGCTGTGATTAATTTCTGCTCTAGACAAGCAGATTCAGTAGCAATAAAATTATGTTAGAAATTTTTTTGGTGACCTGGACTGGGGAGGGGACGTGCCCCCCGGTAAATCCACCACTGATATAATAACAGATAGACATATTGTTCTTTGTGAAAAATTTCTGCAAATAATATAAATATGTGCCCGTTTAATTTAAAAAAAAGTTAACTATCACTTGAAATTTACCCCACATAAAAGGGATAGTCATTACATGTACCTTGAGGGGTTATATTTTTGTTCAAGATAAAAGGCATGAACTTGACAGACACAATAAAGCAAAATGACATACATATATAGCACAGTCTTCAGGATAAATTTTTAAATCTACAGGCCCGATGCTCAATTTTTGGAAAATTTTAGTTAGATTCTGTTAGCCTGTAAAGATGCAGATTTTTACAGGCCCGAAAGCAATTTTACAAGCTTGGGCTGCTGTTTATCCATCAAACTTTTTTTTACTTGTACTTTAAAATTATATTTCTTTGAGCAACTTTTAACACTTTTAACTATTTCTGGCAGCGACTTCCAATCTTTTATTCCATTATAGAAAAAAGTGGTAGATTCACACCCTTTAAATCCAGGTATATAAAAACTCATGTTACTAGATCTTTTGTTGAAAGATGTTTCATTTCTAACAAAATTGGTATGCAAATAATTTGGGTATAAATGTACATATATATTGTTAAAAATGTTGATGTTTGACTCTATTACTAATTTTTCAAATTCAATATATATATATATACTTATACAGTCGCACTTTTTATACAACCACAAAAAAATTTGCAGTCGTATATTGGTATCACCGCGTGAGCGTCGTCCGAAGACATTTGGTTTCCGGACAATAACTTTAGTATAAGTAAAATAGAAATATATGAAATTTAAATGCAAGGTTTAAAACCACAAAGGAAGGTTGGGATTGATTTTGGGTGTTATGGTCCCAACAGTTCAGGAATTAGGGGGCAAAAAGGGGCCCAAATAAGCATTTTTCTAATTTCCAGACAATAACTTGTGGAACAGTGTATGGATCTCTCTGAAATTATACCACAAGTTTCCATACCTCAAAGGGATGGTTAGGATTGGCTTTGGGGGGTTATGTCTCAAACCATTTAGGAATTAGGGGCAAAAAAGGGGGGAAAAACAAGGGTTTCCAGGATAATGGACAATTACTTAAGTATTGGTCTTTGGATCTCTATGAAATAGATATTGGACCATTAAGCATTATTTAAGGGATCGTATAACCAAGGCCAGTACTCTGCTCGTTCCTGACCTGGTTACTCATCTTGCTAGGTTGGGGGAACTAGCTGGTATCTTTCTTTAACCACATGCCTACATGGCTTGTGCAACATAGATTCAAAGTTCTATATATAAATGTTTATTAAATCAGCATTCAATATTCAGCAATCATAATAACATATCACAACCACATAAGTTCATGAGATATAATAATGATAATAAAACAGCATGTCTAATTTCAATCCAATACAACTGTCTAAATCAAAGTCTAAAACACAAGTGTGACGTCCCAAACTACCTGGTCAACTAATATATATTGTTTTTCATTATTCAATTTACATAACATTAATACTCAATATATTTACTTTACATAATAATGCTAGTTTATCTATTTTCCCAAATATCAAGTCTTTGTGACATAACCTAAATTATCTAAAAAAGTAAGAAATCCCTTTTGTATATACATGTATAACACTTCTCTAATCCTTAATTCTCTATTGTCATTTAACCCTCAGCGGATTACATAATAATTTGCTTTACACTTTATCTAAAATTGTGAAGATTTATATTAATTATTTATCAAGTAAATTATTTCTTAAGCTAGTGCTAAATATCTTTAACTAATACTGAATTATAAGAATTATTTGAATTCCACATTTTAACATTCTTGCATCTAAAATATATTGGTTATAATAGCATTCGATTGATTCATGAATATGTATGTCATTTTCTATTTCAATACTTTTATGATGTATTTAAATGGGTTTTTATGGTTGCAAACTCAATTGGAAATTTGAATTGAGATTATGACCATACATGTATCTTGAGGGAAAGATTTTTTTGGGAAAAAGGGGGGGGGGGGGTTAAAAAAATTCAATTTGGGGGTGGGTAAAAAAAATTGGAGGGGGATGGGGTCAATTTTTTATCAAGATTTCAGAAATTAAAAAGAAATTATTTTTTTTTCAATTTTCCAAAGAAAAATTGTGTGTCACAATTGCTAATTCTTTGTATAGTGTCTGAAAACAGATTTACAAAGTATTGCGCAACAGCACAGTGTATTGCACAAAAGCAAGAAATTGAATATAAATCCAAATCATATAACCAATTCTAAGTTCTTTGACTACAGTTATTCTGTGTCAGAAACCTATTATGTGTCAAATATTTAATTACAATCCAAATTCAGACCAGTCAGTCAGGGGTACTACTTGTACAAGTAATTTTTATTTACTTGGAGAAGTAAATATTTTAATATACTTATATGAGTAAATTTGTAGTAAACTTATGCAAGTGTATTTTATTTACTTGTATAGGTAAAAAAAAATTTGGGCTTAGTTATGTCCCTTATACATTCAGATTTTTATACTTATACAAGTAAAAAAGTCATCCTATCTTCTTTTCTTAAATTCTTAGGACTTCTTTGCTCTAATAGAATTTTTAATTGTCTGTTGTTTGCAGATGTCTTTACTTAATCATTTAAGTGTAATTTCATGGACAATGAAAATCTCATTTGTCTGTTATCTTCAGAACACTGCTCATTTACAAGCCCCCAAGGGGCAATTTTTGAAGGCCTTGCCCAAAATACTTAAGATCTTTGCACAATCAGTTTCTTTGTTGAATTAATGAGATGAAACATTGGACTCTAATAAAAAAAAATATGAGCTAACCTGAGAAAAATTGTTAAAGGCTTGTTATTACATCTCAAAATTTGAGATTTTTTTGTGGCATTCTAAAAAAAAATTACTTATACAAGTAAATTTTTGAGAAAATTAAGGGGAGATTATTCAAACATTATAATTAACTTATATAAGTATATTTTATTTACTTCAAGTAAATAAAGATTACTTGTACAAGTAGTACCCCTGACTGCCTGTATCAAGCGCGAATATTGTGTCCATTTTTGCCCCAACTGTTCAGGGTTGGACCTCTGCGGGCATATCCAGCTGCGCTCTGCGAAGCACATTTTTTCACTATAGAATTGACAATAAAATCACCAGTCAGAAACTGATCAATTATAATTCCCAAATAGTTTACAAAATTTTGGGATTGAATATTAATACCATTACCATGATTACAGGAGATAGCAAAATAACACGGAATTAGAGACCGAAATTTTCGACCAGGACCAAAAATTATACTCTCAGTCTTTCTCAAATGTAGGGACAATTTATTGTCAGTTAACCACTCATAGCATGACTCCAGCATTCTGGATAATTTATGAGAGATGACCCCAGCATCTATATCTGGCATGTATATATATGGAAAAATAAAATTGCAGTATCATCTGCATATATATCAAAACTTTACAATCTGAGTCAATGCTAATTTGAACATCATTGACATAGATCAAAAACAATAATGGACCCAGTAAGCTGCCTTGAGGGACACCACGTAATATTACACACTTCTGAAGTTGCCCCATTTACACTTACAACCTGTTTTCTGTTTGTCAAATAGGATTCAATACAAGGTATAGATCTAACCCCAATAACTTCTAATTAACCGGATTTTCGAAGTAAAAATCGGTTATTGATTTGGGGATGTACGGGGGGCGGATGGGCGGCTGCCAAATAGTGTGTCTTCAATAACTTGAAAACCATTTGACAAAATTTATTCAAATTTGGATATGTTGTTTCCTGCGACTAAATAAAGGTCAAGTTCAATTTTCACGATTTTAGCTTTTCTCGTTTGTGAGTTATGGCCCTTTTTAGCTCACCAAAAAGGGCCCCATGTGAGCTTATGCCATCACTTGGCGTCCATCGTCGTCCGTCGTCTGTCGTCGTAAACTATTTCAAAAATCTTCTCCTCTGAAACTATTGGGCCAAATACCTTCAAACTTTAACTAAATGTTCCTTAGGGTATCTAGTTTATAAATTGTATCCGAAGTTTTGATCCATCAACAAACATGGCCGCCATGGCTAAAAATAGAACATAGCGGTCAAATGCAGTTTTTGGCTTATATCTCATAAACTAAAGCTTTTAGAGCAAATCTGACATGGGGTAAAATTGTTCAATTGGTCAAGATCTATCAGCTCTGAAATTTTCAGATAAATCGAACAACCCATTGTTGGGTTGCTGCCACCGAATTGGTAGTTTTAACAAAAATTTGCAGTTTTTATACGACCGCAAAAAAATTTTGCGGTCGTATATTGGTATGACGTTGACCATGTTGACGTCGTCCGAAGACACATTGGTTTTCGCACTCTAACTTTAGTTTAAGTGAATGGATCTCTATGAAATTTTACCATAAGGTTCAATACCACAAAAGGAAGGTTGGGATTGATTTTGGGGGTTATGGTACCAACAGTTAAGGAATAAGGGGCCAAAAAGGGGCCAAAAATAAGCATTTTTGTAACTTCCAGACATAACTTGTGTGTTAGTATATGGATCTCTCTGACATTGTACCACAAGGTTCCATATCACACAGGGAATGCTGGGATTAATTTTGGGGGTAATTGCCTCAAAATATTAGGAATTAGGGGCTAAAAAAGGGGCAAAAAACAAGCATTTTTTTAGTTTCATGACAATAACTTGTGTGTAAGTGTATGGATCTTTCTGAAATTGTACTACAAGGTTCCATATCACAAAGGGAAAGCTGGAATTGAGTTTGGGGGTAATTGCCCAAAACGTTTAGGAATAAGGGGCCAAAAAGGGGCCAAAAATAAGCATTTTTCTAGTTTCCAGACAATAACTTGTGTTCAAGTGTATGGATCTCTCTGAAATTGTACTGCAAGGTACCATACCACAAAGGGAAGGCTGGGATTGATTTTGGGTGTGATGAATCATAAGGGGGTTCAACAAAATATTTTTTGGGGGGGGGGGGTTTCCTTTTAAAATCTTCCATTTTAAGTTGGTTATTTCTGATTTATATTTAAAAGCAAATAATAATGATATGGTAGGAGATACACACCAAACAGGATGTGTAAATTATTATATAATAAGTATTGTGCAATAGCAAGAAATTTTCAATTGCACAGTATTGCACAATAGCAAGAAATCTTCAATTACACAGTATTGCGCAATAGCAAGAAATCTTCAATTGCACAGTATTGCGCAATAGCAAGAAATATCCAATAGCACAATATTGCGCAATAGCAAGAAATAGTCAATTGTGCAGTATTGGGCAATAGCAAGAAATATTCAATTGCACAGTATTGTGCAAAAGAAGATACTTCCTATAAATTGCCTATTTCTTGACCAATTTCAATGGGGTTTTATTCTTGATTTCATGGGGTTCTTTAATATGCTGAATCTAACCGTGTATTAAGTTTTTGGATTTTGGGCGCTGTTTTTAAATTGGTCCATATTGAGGTCCAAAGGGTCCAAAATTAAACTTTGTTTGATTTCATCAAAAATTGAATTATTGGGGTTCTTTGATATGCCAAATCTAACCGTGTATTTAGATTCTTAATTTTTGGTTCCGTTTTTAAATTGGTCTACATTAAGGTCCATCGGGGTCCAAAATTAAACTTAGTTTGATTTTAACAAAAATTGAATTTTTTAGTGTTCTTTGATATGCTGAATCTAAACATGTATTTAGATTTTTGATTATGGGCCCAGTTTTCAAGTTGATCCAAATCGGGGTCCAAAATTAAACTTTGTTTGATTTCAACAAAAATTGAATATATGGGGTTCTTTGATATGCTGAATCTAACCATGTATTTAGATTTTTGGGCCCTGTTATCAACTTTGTCCACATTGAGGTCAAAAGGGTCCAAAATTAAACCTTGTTTGATTTCATCAAAAATTGAATTCTTGGGGTTCTTTGATATGCTGAATCTAACCATGTATTTAGATTTTGGATATTGGACCATAATAGGTGAATGTCCAATTTAAATTTTTTAAGTTCTTAGACCACATTCATTCTGTGTCAGAAACCTATGCTGTGTCAAATATTTAATCACAATCCAAATTCAGTGCTGTATCAAGCTTGAATGTTGTGTCCATACTTGCCCCAACTGTTCAGGGTTCGACCTCTGCGGTTGTATCAAGCTGCGCCCAGCAGAGCATTTTATTTATTGATTATAATATCTATTTATCCAGTTTGAGTTATTTCCCTTTGCACAGAAAATAAATGGATAAAATTAAATTGTGTTTCATTTCAACTTAAATTCAATATATATAGGGTTCTTTCAAATGCTGAATCTAAACCTGTATTTAAATATTAGATTTTTGGGCCCAGTTTTCAAGTTGGTCCAAATCAGGGTCCAAAATTAAACTTTGTTTGAATCTCAAAAATTGAATTTATGTGGTTCCTTGAAATGCTGAATCTTACCATGTATTGAGAGATTTTGGATTGTGAGCTCCTTTATCAAATTGGTCCACATTGTGGTCCAAAGGGTCCTATATTAAACTTTTGTTTGATTTCATCAAAAATTGAATTTTTGGAGTTCTTTGATATGCAGATTCTGACAATGTACTTAGATTTTGGATATTGGACCATAATAGGTAAATGTCCAATTTTAAATATTTCAGTTCTTTGACCACATTCATTTTGTGTCACAAACCTATGCTGTGTCAAATATTCAACCACAATCCAAATTCCGAGCAGTTTTAAGCTTAAATGTAGTGTCCATACTTGCTCAACTGTTCAGGGTTCGACCTCTGCAAGAAAATCTGGTTTCCTATCACTCTGACAGCCTCTTGTTTTTATACCCCTGTTTACGGGACCTATGGTATACCGTTGACCGTCCATCCGTCGTCAACATGTCGGACATTAACTCAAAAAAGCTTTAACAAATATGCATGAAACTTTGGTGAATTGTTTATATCTATTGACGTGAGCTCCCTTCCTTTTTTTATAAATTTCAGACTAATGTTTCCGAGTTTTGGGGTTTTATTCATTAAAAAAGGGGGGATTTTCCAGTTTTCCGACAATAACTCAAGAATGCTTTCACCAACTTGCAAGGAATTTTGGTGAATTGTTTATATCTATTGACATGAGCTCCCTTTTGATTTTTATACGACCACAAAAAAATTTTGCGGTCGTATATTGGTATGACGTTGGCATCGTCGTCGTCGTCCGAAGACACATTGGTTTTCGCACTCTAACTTTAGTTTAAGTGAACGGATCCCTATGAACAGTCAAGGGTCTAACTTAAATAAGTCATTAGAGAAAAATAACATACATTTGTTATTGAGGGCTAAAAAATCAAAAATCTGTAATAACATATGTATGTTACATGTTTCAAAGGGGCATTATACATCCTTAATTTTGTTAAATTGTGTACTAGTTCTATTGATATTATAATTGTCTTTATGTATATTAAACTTTAGAAAGATATAACAGCCCATAGTTTGCCAATCATGCATAACACACCCATGTTATCACAGAAGAAATATGCCTGTAATTACTAAAGGGTGTTATTACAGCTTCTCTACATCTCTTCAAAGCCTTTTCTCCTACATACATCACAATGTATTTTAATTTATTGTAATAAATAATGATAAGAGCATGTAATGAGGTTCTGCGCAAGCTTCCTAGTCATTCCCAAGTGTCTCATGTAATAAGTTAAATGCCTGTAATAACTAAGCCTTGTTATTACAGCTAAGTTATCACTTAAAAGCCTTGTCTCATTGATTTACCATGGTTGATCAAAAATGTATTAATTGAATTGGAAAATTAGTTTTCAAGGTTATGTATTAAGGTACTGCGCAAGTTTCAAGAATTCCCAAGTGCCCACTGAAAATAAACAAATTTATGGTACATTTAACTGATAACAAACATATGTTACTATAGATTAAGAGAAAGTATCCGTAATAACACATGTATGTTATTTTTCTCTAATAACATATTCAAGTTACACCCTTGACTGATGAAATTTTACCATAAGGTTCAATACTACAAAAGGAAGGTTGGAATTGATTTTGGGGGTTATGGTACTAACAGTTAAGGAATTAGGGGCCAAAAAGCGGCCAAAAATAAGCAGTGTTCATAAGGTAAAGTTCTATCAGCACTGAAATTTTCAGATGAATCTACTAACCCATTGTTGGGTTGCTGCCACTAAATTGGTAATTTTAAGGAAATTTTGCCGTTTTTGGTTATCTTGAATATTATTATAGATAGAGATCAACTGTAAACAGCAATAATGTTCAGCAAAGTAAGATCTACAAATAAGTCAACTTGACCAAAATGGTCAGTTGACCCCTTAAGGAGTTATTGCCCTTAATAGTCAATTTTTAACCATTTTTCGTAAATTTTTGTAATCTTTTACAAAAATCTTCTCCTCTGAAACAACTAAGACAAATTTAACCAAACTTGTCCACAATCATCATTAGGGAATTTAGTTTAAAAAATGTGTCCGATGACCCCGCCTGCTAACCAAGATGGCCGACATGGCTAAAAAATAGTACATAGGGTAAGATGCAGTTTTTATACGCCAGTTTACGGGACGTATTATGGTATACCGTTGACTGTCCGTCCGTCCGTCGTCTACATGTCGGACATTAACTCAAAAACGCTTTTACCAATATGCATGAAACTTTGGTGAATTGTTTATATCTATTGACTTGAGCTCCCTTTCGTTTTTTATAAATTTCAGATTTACCGTTTCCGAATTTTGGAGTTTTATTCATTAAAAAAGGGGGGATTTTCCAGTTTTCGGACAATAACTCAAAAACAATTTCACCAATTTGCAAGAAACTTTGGTGAATTGTTTAATGCTATCGACATAAGCTCCCTTTTGATTTTTATAAATTTTAGATTATACGTTTCTGATTTATGGGGTTTTATTCGTTACAAAAAGGGGGATTTTCCAGTTTTCGGACAATAACTCAAAAATGCTTTCAGCATATTTTATGAAACTTTGGTAAATTGTTTATATCTATTGTTGTAAGCTCCCTTTTGATTTTTATAAATTTTAGATTTTATGTTTCCGAGTTACAAGATTTTATTCATAAAAAAGGGGTGATTTTCAAGTTTTTGGACAATATCCTTAAAGTGCTAATAGAGAAGTTTTCATTAAACTTTGATGACTGATTTATATCTATTAAGATAACCTCCCTTTAGTTTTTTTTATAAATTTCTAATATAACATTGAGAAGTTATTGAACTTTATTTGTTTATAGTCTGACAACAGATTTACTAGTATTGTGCAACAGCACAGTGTATTGCACAACAGAAAGAAATCTTTAATTCATATAACCAATTTCAAGTTCTTTGACTACATTTATTCAGAAACCTATAATATGTCAAATATTTAATTACAATCCAAGCTTAGACCTGTATCAAGCTTGAATAATGTGTCCATTTTTGCCCCAACTGTTCAGGGTTGGACCTCTGCGGGCGTATCCAGCTGTGCTCAGCGAAGCAGTTTATTGGCTCATATCTATGAAACCAAAGCATTTAAAGCAAATCTGACAAGGATAAAATTGTTCATTAGGTCAAGATCTATCTGCCCTGAACATTTCAGACCAATCAGGCAACACGTTGTTGGGTTGCTGCCCCTGAATTGGTAATTTTAAGAAAATTTTGCAGCTTTTGGTTATTATCTTGAATATTATTATAGATAGAGATAAACTGTAAACAGCAATAATGTACAGCAAAGTAAGATCTACAAATAAGTCAACATGACCAAAATTGTCAATTGACCCCTTAAGGAGTTATTGCCCCTTATAGTCAATTTTTTTACAATTTTCATAAATTTTGTAAATTTTTGTAAATTTTTACAAAATATTTTCCACTGTTATAACTACTGGGCCAAGTTCATTATAGATAGAGATAATTGTAAGCAGCAAGAATGTTCAGTAAAGTAAGATCTACAAACACATCACCATCACCAAAACACAATTTTGTCATGAATCCATCTGTGTCTTTTGTTTCATATGCACATAGACCAAGGTGAGCGACACAGGCTCTTTAGAGCCTCTAGTTGTAGTTTCATGGCAATAACTTGTGTGTAAGTGTATGGATCGTTCTGAAATTGTACTAGTACTCAGTACTAGTAGTAATACAAGGTTCAATATCACAAAGGGAAAGCTGGAATTGAGTTTGGGGGTAATTGCCCAAAACGCTTAGGAATAAGGGGCCAAAAATTTTTCTAGTTTCCAGACAATAACTTGTGTTCAAGTGTATGGATCTCTCTCTGAAATTGTACTGCAAGGTACCATACCACAAAGGAAAGGCTGGGATTGATATTGGGGGTAATTGCCTCAAAGTTTTAGGAATTAGGGGCCAAAAAGGGGCAAAGCATTTTTCTAGTTTCAGGACAATAACTTGTGTGTAAGTGTATGGATCTTTATGAAATTGTACTACAAGGTTCCATATCACAAAGGGAAAGCTGGTTTTGTGTTTGTGGGTAATTGCCTTAAGTGTTTAGGAATTTTGGGCCAAAAAGGGGTAAAAAAACAAGCATTTTTCTAGTTTCCAGACAATAACATGTTTTCAAGTGTATGGATCTCTCTGAAATTGTACTGCAAGGTACCATACCACAAAGGGAAGGCTGGGATTGAGTTTAGGGGTGATGAATCATAAGGGGGTTCAAAAAATTGAGGGAGGATTTTTTTTTCCTTTTTTTCCTTTTTTTTTTCTTTAAAATTTTCCATTTTAAATTGGTTATTTTTGATTTATATATAAAAGCAAATAATAATGATATGGATTGAATAGGTAAATTAAAAATTTTTAAGTTCTTAGACCACATTCATTCCGTGTCAGAAACCTATGCTGTGTCAAATATTTAATCACAATCCAAATTCAGTGCTTTATCAAGCTTAAATGTTGTGTCCATACTTGCCCCAACTGTTCAGGGTTCGACCTCTGCGGTCGTATCAAGCTGTGCCCCAGCGGAGCATTTTATTACTTCTTTGTTTTCAGAAAATTGGGCAGAATAATCCCAGTGACCTGAGGATAGTCTAATCCAATAGCGGTCACTTCAACAAAATATTTTATTATTTTATCATGTTCATTCAGCCAGAGAACAGTGTAATATCATAAAGACTGATTCATGTTTTTACAAAAGAAGACATTTTGATTAATGTTGATGACCAAATTAATGTACCAAGAAAGATAACTCTAGTTACTTTGTAAAGAACTCTTTTTGTTTTAAAGATGCTGATTGTCTCGTTGATAAATAAAATGGTGTAAATAACATGTGTTTAACAGCCCTAACTGTTTAGGAAAAAGGGGCCAAAAACAATACTTTTCTAATACTTTGTATTAAAACTGCTTATATATTTGTTGACCAGTTTCAATGGGGTTTAATTCAAAGTATTGAATTCTTAGGGTTATTTGATATGCTGAATCTAACCCTGTATTTAGACTTTGAATTTTGGGCCCTGTTTTTTAATCGGTCCACATTGAGGTCCAAAGGGTCCAAAATTAAACTTTCTTTGATTTCTTCAAAAATTGAATTATTGAGGTTCTATTATATGCTGAATCCAACCGTGTATTTAGATTGATTTTTTTGTTTATAATTTTGAAAATGTTATAAATAGAGAAAATCTGACACGAGGAGGAATGATAAGAATGTTGAGATCTACCAATTGTCCATATATATACATGATATATGTCAAAACTGTCAGACGACTTCTTATAGGAGTTATTGCCCTAAAATGACAAATTTTATCTTTTTTTTAAATTTTTGCCTATTATCTTGAAAACTATAATAGATAGAGCGAAACTTTAGATTTCAAAAATAATCAGCAAGACAAGTTTTACAAATAAGTGTACATGCATGGTCGAAATCGTCAGTTAACTCCTTATTAGAGTTATTGCCCTTCAATAACGATTTTTACCAATATTTTGTGTTTTTGCCTTATATCTTAAAAATCATAATAGATAGATAGAAACTTAAATAAGCAAAAATGATCAGCAAGACAAGATCTACTATGAAGACAATTATGGAGGAAATCCTCCGAGGACATTTTGTTACCAGACAATAATTTTAAGTGTATGGATCTCTATGAAATTTAACCAAAAGGTTCAATACCACTAAAGGGAGGTTGGAATTGTTTTTGGGGGTGATGGTCTCACTCGTTTAGGAATTAGGGGCCAAAAAGGATCCCAAAACAAGCATTTTTCTAGTTTCAGGACAATAACTTGTGTATAAGTATTTTGATTGCTCTGAAATTGTACCACAAGGTCAATACCACAAGTAGTAGGTCGGGATTCATTTTGGGGGTAATTGCCCAAACCATTCAGGAATTCGGGGCCAAAAAGGGGCCAAGACAAGCATTTTTCTAGTTTTCAGACAATAACTTGTGTTTAAGTGTATGGATGTCTCTTGAATTGTACCACATTTTACAAAAAGAAAATTTCTTCAAATATAATTTTTATGCCCCTGTCATAGCGGAGGGGGCATTAAGTTTTACCCTTGTCTGTCTGTCCGTACGTCCCAAAGTTGGTTTCTGTTCTCTAACTTTAGGTTGCCTCAACCAAATATTATGAAACTTATACAAAATGCTTATTACCACAAAACACAGATCAAATTTGAATTTTGGTGGCGTCATTTTAACCGTTCTAGAGTTATGCCCCTTTACAAATGGAAAAATTGCTGAATTTTTTGTTTCCGTTTTCAACTTTAGTTTGCAACAACCAAATGTTATGAAACTTATACAAAATGCTTATTACTACAAAACACAGATCAAGTTCAAATTTTGGTGGCGTCACTTTAACCGTTCTAGAGTTATGCCCCTTTTCAAATGGAAAAATTGTAGAATTTTTCGTTTTTGTTCTCAAACTTTAGTTTGCCTCAACCAAATGTTATGTTTACAAAAAGAAAATTTCTTCAAATAGTTTTTTTTTTTGGGGGGGGGGGGGGGGGGGGGGGGGTCAATTTTTTTCCTCAAGTTTATCAATTTTCAACAAAAAAAATTGGGGGTCACAATTTATTTTGCTAATTCTTTGTACATTGTATATAGTCTGAAAACAGATTTACTTAGTATTGCACAACAGCACAGTGTATTGCACAATGACACATTTTAACTGACAATTTTTTTCCTCAAGTTTATCAATTTTCAACAAAAAAAATTGGGGGTCACAATTTATTTTGCTAATTCTTTGTACATTGTATATAGTCTGAAAACAGATTTACTTAGTATTGCACAACAGCACAGTGTATTGCACAACAGCAAGAAATCTTCATTTGAATATAAATTCAAATCATATAACCAATTTCAAGTTCTTTGACTACATTTATTCTGTGTCAGAAACCTATAATGTGTCAGATATTTAATTACAATCCAAATTCAGACCTGTATCAAGCTTGAATATTGTGTCCATTTTTGCCCCAACTGTTCAGGGTTGGACCTCTGCGGTCGTATCCAGCTGCGCTCGTCGAAGCACATTTTTTTTTTTATAGTATTGTGACAATAGCAACTTGTGAATACACCACACCTCCTCTGAGACCATTTCACAGAAAGCTTTCATACATATTTTTTGGAGTATTGTAACACTTTGTGATAGCAGATTCTCTGAGAGCTTTCACAGAAAATTCTCCTACTTGATAGGATTTTTTGCCATTATCTGTAGTTGACCACATTATACAGTCATTTAGATTTGACCATTTTTATGGGAGTTATGGGTCTTTTACCATATTTTTTTACTATCATACTTGTTGTACCTCAATGACACATTTTAACTGACAATTTAATTCCTTGCTTATATATAGTGCAGGGACATTTTACTATGCTGTAGCAATTTTGTTGTTTTGGAAAAAGGTGCCTTTACCTTACTGAATTCCAAGTCTGCTTACGAGACAGCTTATAAGCATGCTTAAAAGAAAATTACACAGTTCTTCTGTTAAATTTGTATTTATATATTATAAATAGATACTGATATTTCTTTTTTACAGGTTTCTGCTAGTCACACAGTAGCAGATGTAAAACAGATCTTATGGATGCAAACATCTATGTCTGTTGATGAGCAGAATTTGGTATACAAGGGTAAAACTTTAGCAGGTAAGTGATGATGTTTTTTTTGGAAACAAGAGGCTGTCAAATTGACAGCAAACCGGATTTTCCTGCACGAAAATGATATTTGCAAATCTGGACCCCCGAACAGGATCAAGTAAAAATATAAATGAATTTTTGTAGGGTTCAGAAATCAAAAGGCCAAATTCAATCTAAGGATCACTTTTTGCTCCTAAAAGTTCTACAACTCAATAACGATAAAAGCTAAAATCATGAAAATCCAACTTGACCTTCCTTAAGTCACAGAAAACTACATATATCTAAATTTGAAAAGATTTTGTCAAAGTGTTTTCAAGTTAATGCACAGACTGTTTGGTAGCTGCCCACACAGCAGCCATCCCACCTGCCCACCATACATCACCAAATTAATAACCGATATTTTTCTTCAGAAATCCCGTAAATAAAATTATTAGTTCATTTAATATTATTAAAACCAGTTTTTATACGACCACAAAAAAATTTTGTGGTCGTATATTGGTATGACGTTGGCGTCGTCGTCGTCGTCCGTAGAAGCATTAGTTTTCGCACTCTAACTTTAGTTTAGGTGAATGGATCTCTATGAAATTTTACCATAAGGTTCAATACCACAAAAGGAACGTGGGGATTGATTTTGGGGGTTATGGTACCAACAGTTAAGGAATTAGGGGCCAAAAAGGGGCCAAAAATAAGCATTTTCTAGTTTCCAGACAATAACTGTGGAACGGTGTATGGATCTCTCTGAAATTATACTACAAGTTTCCATACCACAAAGGGATGGTTAGGATTTGCTTTGGGGGGTTATTGCTCAAACCGTTTAAGAATTAGGGGCAAAAAAGGGGGAAAAACAAGGTTGTCCTCATTAATGGACAAATACTTTAGTACAAAACATAATTTAAAGCAGTGTAAGGGAGATAAATCAAATACATCATTGAAATTATCTCCCTTACACTGCTTTTAGATTATGTATAAAGTAATGGTTAAGGTGGCAGAAACCAGTTATTTTACAATAAATCTTTAGAATTTCATGGATTTATGATTTTATTTTCTTGAAAATTCATTCAAGCTTATATACAAATAAAATGTATGGATTCAAGTAACTAAGATGTGTGCGTGCTTATGTGAATATATAGAAAACCTATAAATTTGGGTGTCTGTCCAGCATGGATATTTTAAAATTTATAAATGCATTGCAAATAAGGCAAAAAATGTGATGCTCTGATACCAATCTAATCCTTACCTGCAGAATCCTGCTAAAAGCCGACAAGAATTTTAGGCAAAATTCAAGAGATAAATGATATTCAGTGAATTAGAGCCTTGTCCGAACCTATCCTTACCATCAAAATCTCAAGATATTTTTGTTTACATAAAACTGAAGTTTTTCCCCACTTTGATTGGATGCCGTCAAGTGAGGAGACCACAATTTTGACTTCTGATTGGACCCATTTGTGAAGGAAATCCCCAATCTGTGTATGCAACTACTTACTTGTGTAGTACAATAGCCTAGAATTTACATTCATTTATTTTTTCAGTCCACATGATGCAATTATATACCTCAATGCTTAACTATAACCAAATTTCTGCGTGGGACACATGTTCTGGTACACCAAAACTGGTACCTGCCACCTTTAACCACTTATTAAAAAGAATATATTTCCATTTTTTTAGTCTGATTGAGTTCTGTAGTCATTTACCATTAAAAATACATGCAGTGCATATGGTTACGGCACAAAAAAAAACATTAATAGGCTTTGTAAGACCAAATTTATTAAAGCAATATTTGTGTCTTTTGCCGTCAAACTGCTTTGAATGCAAAAAAAATAGAAAAAAAGGATTGTGTTCATATTTAATAAATTTTATTGTGTGAGTTTTCTGGTACAGTGTATGAATTATCCAACAGTTCTCAAAAATACTTTAGTTTATTGTTTCATGCATGATATAAAACCACTTACAACTGATCTCAGGAAGTATTTTTCCATTGTTTGAGGTATTAAATAGTCTCAATTCTTGTCACTATCACTGTTCTGTTGACTGCAGTGCTGAAAAAGGCTTAGTTTTGAATAAACTAATATTTTTGGTACATATATTTCACTTTGTAGATCCATGCTGCACTAAACTAAGTGTACATTTATTCGCAATCAGTCTCATATCTCTTCTCCACATGAGCTAGCTGTGTAGGCCGCATGTTGAAATTTTAGAATTGCCACACTATTGCTGATGAGAGAGACCAGTTTTCTTATTTCTGTAGCCTGTCCTACAGTATCAACTATGTAGTAGACCTATAAAAAAAGAAGAATTCATATATTCATAGTTAAAAAGTAAATAAATAAGAAAATGTCCATATCATGTGAAATAAATCATTATAACAGGTAATATACAGTATAATCAGCTTTTTCTAGTGCTATGCTGAGGCTTATTTTACTTTTTTCTCTCTTTGTAATTGCTATTTCTATATATTTTATGATATAAAATCATTGTTTGGTGAATATAATCATTTTAAAACTAATCAATTGAGTGTCATTGTTTGTATTGGTATACAGAGTTATCTGTCTTGATATTTGATAATTCTTAAAATCCATGTAAAAACTATTTTCTTCCAAACAGACCTATACATTGACTGTGAATAAAAGAAATGTAACACCACACACCTGTAGAACCCTTAAAAAGGCACATTTTGTGATATGTTAAAATCATGTTTAGGCTTAAGGTGGCAGAAACCAGTTATTTTACAATAAATCTTTAGAATTTCATGGATTTATGATTTTATTTTCTTGAAAATTCATTCAAGCTTATATACAAATAAAATGTATGGATTCAAGTAACTAAGATGTGTGCGTGCTTATGTGAATATATAGAAAACCTATAAATTTGGGTGTCTGTCCAGCATGGATATTTTAAAATTTATAAATGCATTGCAAATAAGGCAAAAAATGTGATGCTCTGATACCAATCTAATCCTTACCTGCAGAATCCTGCTAAAAGCCGACAAGAATTTTAGGCAAAATTCAAGAGATAAATGATATTCAGTGAATTAGAGCCTTGTCCGAACCTATCCTTACCATCAAAATCTCAAGATATTTTTGTTTACATAAAACTGAAGTTTTTCCCCACTTTGATTGGATGCCGTCAAGTGAGGAGACCACAATTTTGACTTCTGATTGGACCCATTTGTGAAGGAAATCCCCAATCTGTGTATGCAACTACTTACTTGTGTAGTACAATAGCCTAGAATTTACATTCATTTATTTTTTCAGTCCACATGATGCAATTATATACCTCAATGCTTAACTATAACCAAATTTCTGCGTGGGACACATGTTCTGGTACACCAAAACTGGTACCTGCCACCTAATGAACAATTAAGATAATTTAAAACAGTGTAAGGGAGGTAATCCAAATACAACGTTTTGGTTACTTCCCTTACACTGCTTTTAAATTATATTTAAAGAAATGCATATTTATAAAGGAAGACCAGTATGGCACATTAGATTTGTAAAATCTTTGACCACATTTATTTATTTGTTATGCAGAATCTAACCGTGTATTTAGATTTTTAATTTTGGGTCCAGTTTTCAAATTGGTCTACATTAAGGTCCAAAGGGTCCAAAATTAAACTTTGTTTGATTTTAACAAAAATTGAATATATGGGGTTCTTTGATATGCTGAATCCAAACATGTGTTTAGATTTTTGATTTTTGGCCCAGTTTTCAAGTTGGGTCCAAATTGGGGTCCAAAATTAAACTTTGTTTGATTTCAACAAAAATTGAATATATGGGGTTCTTTGATATGCTGAATCTAACCATGTATTTAGATTTTTTATTTGTGGACCCCGCTATCAAATTGGTTCATATTGAGGTCAAAAGGGTCCAAAATTAAACTTTGTTTGATTTCATCAAAAATTGAATTATTGGGGTTCTTTGATATGCAAAATCTAACCGTGTATTTAGATTTTTAATTTTGGGTCCCGTTTTTATACGACCGCAAAAATTGAAAATTTTTTGGTCGTGTATTGGTATGACGTTGGCGTCGTCGTCGTCTGGCGTCGTCCGAAGACACATTGGTTTTCGCACTCTAACTTTAGTTTAAGTGAATGGATCTCCATGAAATTTTACCATAAGGTTCAATACCACGAAAGGAAGGTGGGGATTGATTTTGGGGGTTATGGTACCAACAGTTAAGGAATTAGGGGCCAAAAAGGGGCCAAAAATAAGCATTTTTGTAACTTCCAGACAATAACTTGTGTGTTAGTGTATGGATCTCTCTGACATTGTACCACAAGGTTCCATATCACAAAGGGAAGGCTGTAATTGATTTTGGGGGTAATTGCCTCAAAATTTTAGGAATTAGGGGCCAAAAAAGGGGCAAAAAACAAGCATTTTTCTAGTTTCATGACAATAACTTGTGTGTAAGTGTTTGGATATTTCTGAAATTGTACTACAAGGTTCCATATCACAAAGGGAAAGCTGGAATTGAGTTTGGGGGTAATTGCCCGAAACGTTTAGGAATTAGGGGCCAAAAAGGGGCCAAAAATGAGCATTTTTCTAGTTTCCAGACAATAACTTGTGTTCAAGTGTATGGATCTCTCTGAAATTGTACTGCAAGGTACCATACCACAAAGGGAAGGCTGGGATTGAGTTTGGGGGTGATGAATCATAAGGGGGTTCAAAAAATTTGGGGGGGGGGGATTTTTTTTTTTCTTTTTTTTTCTTTTTTTCCTTTTTTTTTTCTTTTAAAATTTTCCATTTTAAGTTGGTTATATCTGATTAATATTTAAAAGCAAATAATAATGATATGGTAGGAGATACACACCAAACAGGATGTGTAAATTATTATATAATAAGTATTGTGCAATAGCAAGAAATTTTCAATTGCACAGTATTGCACAATTGCAAGAAATCTTAATTGCACAGTATTGCGCAATAGCAAGAAATCTTCAATTGCACAGTATTGCGCAATAGCAAGAAATATCCAATAGCACAATATTGCGCAATAGCAAGAAATTGTCAATTGTACAGTATTGCACAATAGCAAGAAATATTCAATTGCACAGTATTGTGAAAAAGAAGATACTTCGTATAAATTGCTTATTTCTTGATCAATTTCAATGGGGTTTTATTCTTGAATTCTTGGGGTTCTTTAATATGCTGAATCTAACCGTGTATTAAGTTTTTGGATTTTGGTCCCGTTTTTAAATTGGTCCACATTGAGGTCCAAAGGGTCCAAAATTTAACTTTGTTTGATTTCATCAAAAATTGAATTATTGGGGTTCTTTGATATGCCGAATCTAACCGTGTATTTAGATTCTTAATTTTTGGTTCCGTTTTCAAATTGGTCTACATTAAGGTCAAAAGGGTCCAAAATTAAACTTAGTTTGATTTTAACAAAAATTGAATTTGTAGGGTACTTTGATATGCTGAATCTAAACATGTATTTAGATTTTTGATTATGGGCCCAGTTTTCAAGTTTTGTCCAAGTTGGGGTCCAAAATTAAACTTTGTTTGATTTCAACAAAAATTGAATATATGGGGTTCTTTGATATGCTGAATCTAACCATGTATTTAGATTTTTGATTTTTGGGCCCCGTTATCAACTTTGTCCACATTGAGGTCAAAAGGGTCCAAAATTAAACTTTGTTTGATTTCATCAAAAATTGAATTCTTGGGGTTCTTTGATATGCTGAATCTAACCATGTACTTAGATTTTTTATTTGTGGAGCCGCTATCAAATTGGTTCATATTGAGGTCAAAAGGTTCCAAAATTAAACTTTGTTTGATTTCATCAAAAATGAATTATTGGGGTTCTTTGATATGCCAAATCTAACCGTGTATTTAGATTTTTAATTTTGGGTCCCGTTTTTAAATTGGTCTACATTAAGGTCCAAAGGGTCCAAAATTAAACTTAGTTTGATTTTAACAAAAATTGAATTTTTAGGGTTCTTTGATATGCTGAATCTAAACATGTGTTTAGATTTTTGATTATGGGCCCAGTTTTCAAGTTGGGGTCCAAAATTAAACTTTGTTTGATTTCAACAAAAGATGAATATATGGGGTTCTTTGATATGCTGAATCTAAACATGTATTTAGATTTTAGATTTTTGGCCCAGTTTTCAAGTTGGTCCAAATTGGGGTCCAAAATTAAACTTTGTTTGATTTCAACAAAAATTGAATATATGGGGTTCTTTGATATGCTGAATCTTACCATGTATTTAGATTTTTTATTTGTGGGCCCGCTATGAAATTGGTTCATATTGAGATCAAAAGGGTCCAAAATTAAACTTTGTTTGATTTCATCAAAAATTTAATTATTGGGGTTCTTTGATATGCCAAATCTAACCGTGTATTTAGATTTTTAATTTTGGGTCCCGTTTTTAAAATTGGTCTACATTAAGGTCCAAAGGGTCCAAAATTAAACTTAGTTTGATTTTAACAAAAATTGAATTTTTGGGGTTCTTTGATATGCTGAATCTAAACATGTGTTTAGATTTTTGATTATGGGACCAGTTTTCAAGTTGGTCCAAGTTGGGGTCCAAAATTAAACTTTGTTTGATTTCAACAAAAATTGAATATATGGGGTTCTTTGATATGCTGAATCTAAACATGTATTTAGATTTTAGATTTTTGGCCCAGTTTTCAAGTTGGTCCAAATTGGGGTCCAAAATTAAACTTTGTTTGATTTCAACAAAAATTGAATATATGGGGTTCTTTGATATGCTGAATCTTACCATGTATTTAGATTTTTTATTTTGTGGGCCTGCTATCAAATTGGTTCATATTGAGGTCAAAAGGGTCCAAAATTAAACTTTGTTTGATTTCATCAAAAATTGAATTATTGGGGTTCTTTGATATGCCAAATCTAACCGTGTTTTTAGATTTTTAATTTTGGGTCCCGTTTTTTAAATTGGTCTACATTAAGGTCCAAAGGGTCCAAAATTAAACTTAGTTTGATTTTAACAAAAATTGAATTCTTGGGGTACTTTGATATGCTGAATCTAAACATGTGTTTAGATTTTTGATTATGGGACCAGTTTTCAAGTTTGTCCAAGTTGGGGTCCAAAATTAAACTTTGTTTGATTTCAACAAAAATTGAATATATGGGGTTCTTTGATATGCTGAATCTAACCATGTATTTTGATTTTGGACATTGGACCATAATAGGTAAATCAAAAAAATTGAAGTTCTTAGACCACATTCTTTCTGTGTCAGAAACCTATGCTGTGTCAAATATTTAATCACAATCCAAATTCAGAGCTGTATCAAGCTTGAATGTTGTGTCCATACTTGCCCCAACTGTTCAGGGTTCGACCTCTGCGGTCGTATCAAGCTGCGCCCAGCGAAGCATTTTATTTAAATTGGTCTACATTAAGGTCCAAAGGGTCCAAAATTAAACTTAGTTTGATTTTAACAAAAATTGAATTCTTGGGGTTCTTTGATATGCTGAATCTAAACATGTGTTTAGATTTTTGATTATGGGCCCAGTTTTCAAGTTGGTCCAAGTTGGGGTCCAAAATTAAACTTTGTTTGATTTCAACAAAAATTGAATATATGGGGTGCTTTGATATGCTGAATCTAAACATGTATTTAGATTTTAGATTTTTGGCCCAGTTTTCAAGTTGGTCCAAATTGGGGTCCAAAATTAAACTTTGTTTGATTTCAACAAAAATTGAATATATGGGGTTCTTTGATATGCTGAATCTTACCATGTATTTAGATTTTTTATTTGTGGGCCCGCTATGAAATTGGTTCATATTGAGGTCAAAAGGGTCCAAAATTAAACTTTGTTTGATTTCATCAAAAATTTAATTATTGGGGTTCTTTGATATGCCAAATCTAACCGTGTTTTTAGATTTTTAATTTTGGGTCCCGTTTTTTAAATTGGTCTACATTAAGGTCCAAAGGGTCCAAAATTAAACTTAGTTTGATTTTAACAAAAATTGAATTCTTGGGGTACTTTGATATGCTGAATCTAAACATGTGTTTAGATTTTTGATTATGGGACCAGTTTTCAAGTTTGTCCAAGTTGGGGTCCAAAATTAAACTTTGTTTGATTTCAACAAAAATTGAATATATGGGGTTCTTTGACATGCTGAATCTAACCATGTATTTTGATTTTGGACATTGGACCATAATAGGTAAATTAAAAAAATTGAAGTTCTTAGACCACATTCTTTCTGTGTCAGAAACCTATGCTGTGTCAAATATTTAATCACAATCCAAATTCAGAGCTGTATCAAGCTTGAATGTTGTGTCCATACTTGCCCCAACTGTTCAGGGTTCGACCTCTGCGGTCGTATCAAGCTGCGCCCAGCGAAGCATTTTATTTTTCTACTGGAAAGTCTAATGAAGGTTTTAACTTTGAAAACACTACATGTAGAAAACTTCTATTGATTTTCAGGGTCATTAGGTCAGAGGTTTAGGATATAATTAGGGCCCCGCCGAATGGCGGACGCCCTATAGTGATCAGTGTGTCCGTCCGTCCGTCCGTCCTTAACAAATTGTGTCCGCTCTATATCTAGAGAACCGTTATGATTTCAAAGTTTATACTTGACATGTATATTAACCAACACCAGAGGGTGTAACATAATGTATGTTCAACTTCCTAGGTCAAAGGTCAAGGTCAAAAACTTTGGTTTTAGTTGACAACCCCATGTCCTATGGTAAAGATCGTGTCCGCTCTATATCTTGAGAACCGTTATGATTTCAAAGTTTATACTTGATATGTATATAAAACAACACCAGAGGGTGTGTCATAATTTATGTACAACTTCTTAGGTCAAAGGTCCATGTTAAAAAATTTGGTTTCAGTTGACAACCCCATGTCCAATGATAAAGATACAAATTTTTTACCACACATTATTCACAGTGGGGCCCACAGAGATGGCTCCCATCTCAATGATATCTAGTTTTTATACGACCACAAAAATTAAAAATTTTTTGGTCGTATATTGGTATGACGTTGGCGTCGTCGGCGTCCGGCGTTGTCCGAAGACACATTGGTTTTCGCACTCTAACTTTAGTTTAAGTGAATGGATCTCCATGAAATTTTACCATAAGGTTCAATACCACGAAAGGAAGGTTGGGATTGATTTTGGGGGTTATGGTACCAACAGTTAAGGAATTAGGAGCCAAAAAGGGGCCACAAATAAGCATTTTTGTAACCTCCAGACAATAACTTGTGTGTAAGTGTATGGATCTCTCTGACATTGTACCACAAGGTTCCATATCACAAAGGGAAGGCTGTAATTGATTTTGGGGGTAATTGCCTCAAAATTTTAGGAATTAGGGGCAAAAAAGGGGCAAAAAACAAGCATTTTTCTAGTTTCATGACAATAACTTGTGTGTAAGTGTTTGGATGTTTCTGAAATTGTACTACAAGGTTCCATATCACAAAGGGAAAGCTGGAATTGAGTTTGGGGGTAATTGCCCGAAACGTTTAGGAATTGGGGGCCAAAAAGGGGCCAAAAATAAGCATTTTTCTAGTTTCCAGACAATAACTTGTGTTCAAGTGTATGGATCTCTCTGAAATTGTACTGCAAGGTACCATACCACAAAGGGAAGGCTGGGATTGAGTTTGGGGGTGATGAATCATAAGGGGGTTCAAAAAATTTGGGGGGGGGGATTTTTTTTTCTTTCTTTTTTTTTTCTTTTTTTCCTTTTTTTTTTCTTTTAAAATTTTCCATTTTAAGTTGGTTATTTCTGATTTATATTTAAAAGCAAGTAATAATGATATGGTAGGAGATACACACCAAACAGGATGTGTAAATTATTATATAATAAGTATTGTGCAATAGCAAGAAATTTTCAATTGCACAGTATTGCACAATAGCAAGAAATCTTCAATTGCACAGTATTGCGCAATAGCAAGAAATCTTCTATTGCGCAATAGCAAGAAATATCCAATAGCACAATATTGCGCAATAGCAAGAAAGTGTCAATTGTACAGTATTGCGCAATAGCAAGAAATATTCAATTGCACAGTATTGTGCAAAAGAAGATACTTCCTATAAATTGCTTATTTCTTGATCAATTTCAATGGGGTTTTATTCTTGAATTCTTGGGGTTCTTTAATATGCTGAATCTAACCGTGTATTAAGTTTTTGGATTTTGGGCCCCGTTTTTAAATTGGTCCACATTGAGGTCCAAAGGGTCCAAAATTTAACTTTGTTTGATTTCATCAAAAATTGAATTATTGGGGTTCTTTGATATGCCAAATCTAACCGTGTATTTAGATTCTTAATTTTTGGTTCCGTTTTCAAATTGGTCTACATTAAGGTCCAAAGGGTCCAAAATTAAATTTAGTTTGATTTTAACAAAAATTGAATTTTTAGGGTTCTTTGATATGCTGAATCTAAACATGTATTTAGATTTTTGATTATGGGCCCACTTTTCAAGTTGGTCCAAATCGGGGTCCAGAATTAAACTTTGTTTGATTTCAACAAAAATTGAATATATGGGGTTCTTTGATATGCTGAATCTAACCATGTATTTAGATTTTTGATTTTTGGGCCCCGTTATCAACTTTGTCCACATTGAGGTCAAAAGGGTCCAAAATTAAACTTTGTTTGATTTCATCAAAAATTGAATTCTTGGGGTTCTTTGATATGCTGAATCTAACCATGTATTTACATTTTGGATATTGGACCATAATAGGTGAATGTCCAATTTAAAATTTTTAAATTCTTAGACCACATTCATTCTGTGTCAGAAACCTATGCTGTGTCAAATATTTAATCACAATCCAAATTCAGAGCTGTATCAAGCTTGAATGTTGTGTCCATACTTGCCCCAACTGTTCATGGTTCGACCTCTGCGGTCGTATCAAGCTGCACCCTGCGGAGCATTTTATTACAATTTTGAAACATGTATCCACCTTTGACCAAACTTTGTTTGTCAATGCCCAATAGGGCCATGCTTTTTTAATTTGTTGGTTTACAGATTTACTATTTGAAAAAGCTGGGACTATTGTACTAACGGGACTGGAAACTGTTACACCAATCAGATTAATTATAATCAACATCACGGACGTTAGAACGAGACCTTACCTGTGCGAGATTTATCGATTCACCATATTGTTTTGACAGTGCCAGATTGCCTTGATTGCATAATTTCTGTAAGTTGTTTTTATAGTTATTTGAAATGATAATCATTTCTGTAAACATGATTACTATTATGATAAAAGATATCTTGGTCATTGAAAGTTGTTAGTAATCACCGAATCCCGCCTTTAATGTAAAAAATGACATCTAAAGGTTGAAAATGTTTCAGGATGATTAAAGCTTGAAGATGCTGTGAAAAAAAAGATTCTTCATAAAATGTCTAAAAACTGTTGATTGAAAAGAGATAATCATAGTATCATATTTATAAGTTATAGGTTGTACTGGCCTTATTTTTATTGCCATCTTCAGAGTTAAAAGCTGAATATAAATCTCCTTCTCATTACAACAGAAACACATGCAGGGGTCAAAGAAATTATACTGTTCCTATAAAATTGCTAACTCCTATTTCTGTGTGCAATATTTGTATTAAAATCAGTTTTTTTTTGTGCACAGCAATGGTCCTCAGGTTTCATAAGCATCTTACTTCATGAAAATATGTACAATAGGTTCCAGAATCAGAACTACAAAAGTAGGCCCACTTCACAGTTATTGCAGCCGTATTGAATAGGGGGCAGATTTTCATAATGGAGGTGAAAATGCTTTGACAAAAAAGGGAAAACATCTTTCAAACAGAACAGTTGCTTGGAAACATGCATAGGTTTTCCCATACTTTTTTGCTATTTCCCGCGCCATCCAAGAACTCTACCCCCTATTCAATATGGCTGCATCAACTATGAAGTGGACACTGTTTCTAAACCTGGCTCTGTATGTGAAATTGTCCCTGATTTTTCTTTTCCCTACAACATTGTCCCTGAATTCCATTCTTGACCAGCACTCATTTACTGTTTTCTTGTTTATCATGTTTTAGCAAAATCACTGTTGTAATTTCCTAAGGTGCCAAGTCGATCTGGCCACATGATTAAGTAAATGTATAATGCTTAAATAGTACAATATCAAAGTCGGAGAGTCTTTGAATGTGATCTGATGATTGGTTCAGCATAAGTGGCAAAATGTGTAGGACCATATCCCCCTTATATTTTTGTAGCTGTGTCTAATAAATACTTTATAGTGTCCGCTTGTAGCCTTTGTTTAAATTTTTATTTAGAAATAGGTGTTTGGAGATGTATGTTTAGTTGAGTTCTAAGCTGAGAATCATCCATCATTTAATCCGTAATTTTAACAAGCAAGGACGGACGGTCAAGGATAACACTTAAAGCCCCCCTTGCCTACGGCAGGGGCATAAAAAAATTGATGGCACAAAAAAACCAACAAAAATTGTCATCCTCACCTGAACAAAATTTGTTGATTATCTCAACCTCAAGTACTGGACATATGAATGTACATAACTACATTTATAAGTTGATCAAAAGATAAAAACTTTTGAGACATATGCACATGTTTGTTTACAGAAAATGTACTTTTTGATACGCCTGAAACTTACAGTTGTTAACATTTGTTGTTGGGTTGCTGTCTCATTGATATACCAAACATCTCTTATTCACATGTATACATTCTGGACAACACCAAAGTTGAATATAGGCAAAATACCAGAAAAACAGAAAGCTAAAACTTGAATGATTTTATGTCCGTAAATGGCAATTAAGAATTTTTAAGCAAATACAAAATTTGGACGAGGGTTTTCTCATTTGGACAAGTAATAATAAGTAATATATCTTGATAATTTGGCCAAAGGTCAAGTTGATAAATAAGCTTCAAGTTAATGTCTAACCCTGAGTATAGTATAGTCAAAAGAAATGCAACTATAACATACTGGTATAGTTTTTGTAAATATTATTAACTTAAGTTTCTAATAGATGGACCTCTCTGGATAGTTAGTTAGTCAATAATAGAAAAGCTGGATATTGTGTATTGCATTACCGCCAATTTCATTATGAGGGTCTTGATTAGGTGTCCTTTGTTTCTTTATTCTTCAACCTTTAAGACCAATTTTCTCTATTTATTTATTTTTATCGCTTTAAGTAATTCTCTATTCTTTATATTTTAGCACCCAATTATTCTCTTTAATCTTTATTTTTTATGCCCCCGCTGTAGTGGAGGGGGCATTAAGTTTTACCCTTGTCCGTCTGTACGTACGTCCCAAAATTTAGTTTGCCTCAACCAAATGTTATGAAACTTATACACAATGCTTATTACTACAAAACACAGATCAAGTTTGAATTTTGGTGGCGTCACTTTTACCATTCTAGAGTTACGCCCTTTATAAATGGAAAAATTGCTGAATTTTTAGTTTCCGTTCTCTAACTTTAGTTTGCCTCAACCAAATGTTATGAAACTTATACACAATGCTTATTACAACAAAACACAGGTCAAGGTTGAATTTTTGTGGCATCATTTTTACCGTTCTAGAGTTATCCCCCTTTACAAATGGAAATAAATGTGGATAGTGTCCACATGTTGACACAGATGATGCCCCCGCTACCCAAATTTGAACTTGATCTGAGTTTTGTGGTAATAAGCATTGTGTGTAAGTCTCATAAAATTTGGTTGAGGCTAACTTAAGTAAAGAACAGAAACTAAAAATTCAGCAAATTTTATACGACCCAGTCGTATATTGGTATGACGTTGAGATCGTCGTCGTCGTCCGAAAACACATTGGTTTTCACACTCTAACTTTAGTTTAAGTGAATGGATCTCTATGAAATTTTCCCATAAGGTTCAATACCACAAAAGGAAGGTTGGGATTGATTTTGGGGGTTATGGTACCAACACAGTTAAGGAATAATGGGCCAAAAAGGGGCCAAAAATAAGCATTTTTGTAACTTCCAGACATAACTTGTGTGTTAGTGTATGGATCTCTCTGACATTGTACCACAAGTTTCCATATCACAAAGGGAATGCTGGGATTGATTTTGGGGGTAATTGCCTCAAAATTTTAGGAATTAGGGGCCAAAAAAGGGGCAAAAAACAAGCATTTTTGTAGTTTCATGACAATAAATTGTGTGTAAGTGTATGGATCTTTCTGAAATTGTACTACAAGGTTCCATATCACAAAGTAAAAGCTGGAATTGAGTTTGGGGGTAATTGCCCAAAACATTTGGGAATAAGGGGCCAAAAAGGGGCCAAAAATAAGCATTTTCTAGTTTCCAGACAAAAACTTGTGTTCAAGTGTATTGATCTCTATGAAATTGTACTGCAAGGTACCATACCACAAAGGAAAGGCTGGGATTGATTTTGGGGGTAATTGCCTCAAAATTTTAGGAATTAGGGGCAAAAAAGGGGCAAAAAACAAGCATTTTTCTAGTTTCAGGACAATAACTTGTGTGTAAGTGTATGGAACTTTATGAAATTGTACTACAAGGTTCCATATCACAAAGGGAAAGCTGGGTTTAAGTTTGGGGGTAATTGCCCTAAAAGTTTAGGAATTTGGGGCCAAAAAGGGGCCAAAAAACAAGCATTTTTCTAGTTTCAAGACAATAACTTGTGTTCAAGTGTATGGATCTCTCTGAAATTGTACTGCAAGGTACCATACCACAAAGGGAAGGCTGGGATTGAGTTTGGGGGTGACGAATCATAAGGGGGTTCAAAAAATTTGGGGGAGGGATTTTATTTTCCTTTTTTTCCTTTTTTTTCTTTAAAATTTTCCATTTTAAATTGGTTATTTCTGATTTATATATAAAGGCAAATAATAATGATATGGTTTGAATAGTTAGATAAAATTTTTTTTAGTTCTTAGACCACATTCATTCTGTGTCAGAAACCTATGCTGTGTCAAATATTTAATCACAATGCAAATTCAGTGCTGTATCAAGCTTGAATGTTCTTTGTATATGGATGCCTCATGTTACGAAGTTTCCGTCAGTCACATGTCCAATGTCATTGACCTCATTTTCATGGTTCAGTGACTACTTGAAAAAAAAGTTAAGATTTTTTTGTAATGTTAAATTCTCTCTTATTATAAGTAATAGGATTACTATATTTGGTATGTGCGTACCTTGCAAGGTCCTCATGCCTGTCAGACAGTTTTCACTTGACCTTGACCTCATTTCATGGATCAGTGAACAAGGTTAAGTTTTGGTGGTCAAGTCCATATCTCAGATACTATAAGCAATAGGTCTAGTATATTCGGTATATGGAAGGACTGTAAGGTGTACATGTCTAACTGGCAGGTGTCATCTGACCTTGACCTCATTTTCATGGTTCAGTGGTTATAGTTAAGTTTTTGTGTTTTGGTCTGTTTTTCTTATACTGTATGCTATAGGTCTACTATACTTGGTGTATGGAATGATTGTAAGGTGTACATGTCCAACTGGCAGGTGTCATGTGACCTTGACCTCATTTTCATGGTTCAGTGGTTATAGTTAAGTTTTTGTGTTTTGGTCCGTTTTTCTTATACTTTATGCAATAGGTCTACTATATTTGGTGTATGGAATGATTGTAAAGTGTACATGTCCAACTGGCAGGTGTCATCTGACTTTGACCTCATTTTCATGGTTCAGTGGTCAAAGTTAAGTTTTTGAGTTTTGGTCTTTTTTCTTGTACTATATGCAATAAGTCAACTATATTTGGTGTATGGAAATATTCTATGATGTACATGTCAGTCTCGCAGGTTTTATTTGACCTTGACCTCATTTTCACGGTTCATTGCTCAGTGTTAAGTTTATGTGTTTCAGTCTGTTTTTCTTATATACTATAAGCAATAGGTCAACTATATTTGTTGTATGGAAGGATTGTAAGCTGTTCATGTCTGCCTGGCATGGTTCATCTGACCTTGACCTCATTTTCATGATTCATTGGTCAATGTTTAGTTTTCTTGGTTAAGTCTGTTTCTTAGAAACTATAAGCAATAGTTCAACTATATTTAGTGTATTGAATGATTGTAAGGTGTACATGTATTTCTCGTTTGGTTTATATGACCTTGACTTCATTTTCTTGGATCATGTTAAGTTTATGTAGTAGTTGTAGTAAAGCTTTCATTTAGGACTATCAACATAATATCAATGGTTAGTAAAGAAGGCGAGACATTTCAGCGTGTGCACTCTTGTGTTTATAAAGGGACATAACTCAAGAATGGTAAAAGTGTTCTCACCAAATTTCGTATTTAATCTGTACTATGTAGTAATATGAATTGTGTATAAGTTTCATAACATTTGGTTGAGGCAAACTAGAGTTAGAAAAAGGAAACAAAAAAATTGTACTTGATCTTAGTTTTGTGGTTATGATTATTGTGTACATAAGTTTCATAATGTTTGGTTGGGACAAACTTAAGTTACAGAATGGAAACTAAAAATTTTGCAATCTTTCGATTTATAAAGGGGCATAACTCAATAATGGTTAAAGTGACACTACCCAAATTCAACTTGATCTGTGTTTTATCAGTGGAAGTCAAAATTAAACATTGCATTGAATAAAGCATTGATTGTAGTTGATTCAATGTAGTTGATTCAACTATAATCATGGACAAAGGAAGATAACTCCAATTTTAAAAATTCTTGATATTTAGAAGAAAATAAAAATTTTGCTATTTTTATACAACCGCAAAAAAAATTTGCGCTTGTATATTGGTATGACGTTGTCGTCATCGTCGTCCGAAGACACATTGGTTTTCGCACTCTAACTTTAGTTTAAATGAATGGATCTCTATGAAATTTTACCATAAGGTTAAATACCACAAAAGGAAGGTTGGGATTGATTTTGGGGGTTATGGTACCAACAGTAAAGGAATTAGGGGCCAAAAAAGGGGCAAAAAAACAAGCATTTTTGTAGTTTCATGACAATAACTTGTGTTCAAGTGTATGGATCTTTCTGAAATTGTACTGCAAGGTACTATACCACAAAGGGAAGGCTGGGATTGATTTTGGGGGTAATTGCCTCAAAATTCTAGGAATTAGGGGCAAAAAACAAGCATTTTTCTAGTTTCAGGACATCCTGTGTGTAAGTGTATGGCACTTTATGAAATTGTACTACAAGGTTCCATATCACAAAGGGAAAGCTGGGTTTGAGTTTGGGGTAATTGCCTTAAATGTTTATGAATTTGGGGCCAAAAAAGGGCCTAAAAACAAGCATTTTTCTAGTTTCCAGACAATAACTTGTGTTCAAGTGTATGGATCTCTCTGAAATTTTACTGCAAGGTACCATACTACAAAGGGAAGGCTGGGATTGAGTTTGGGGGTGATGAATCATAAGGGGGTTAAAAAAATTTGGGGGAGGGATTTTATTTTCCTTTTTTTCCTTTTTATACGACCGCAAAAAAATTTTTGTGGTCGTATATTGGTATGACGTTGGCGTCGTCGTCATCGTCTGGCGTCGTCCGGCGTCGTCCGATGACACATTGGTTTTCGCACTCTAACTTTAGTTTAAGTGAATGGATCTCTATGAAATTTTACCACAAGGTTCAATACCACAAAAGGAAGGTTGGGATTGATTTTGGGGGTTATGGTACTAACAGTAAAGGAATTAGGGGCCAAAAAGGGGCCAAAAATAAGCATTTTTGTAACTTCCAGACATAACTTGTGTGTTAGTGTATGGATCTCTCTGACATTGTACCACAAGGTTCCATATCACAAAAGGAATGCTTGGATTGATTTTGGGGGTAATTGCCTCCAAATTTTAGGAATTAGGGGCCAAAAAAGGGGCAAAAAACAAGCATTTTTCTAGGTTCATGACAATAACTTGTGTGTAAGAGTATGGATCTTTCTGAAATTGTACTACAAGGTTCCATATCACAAAGGGAAAGCTGGAATTGAGTTTTGGGGTAATTGCCAAAACGTGTAGGAATTGGGGGGCCAAAAAGGGGCCAAAAATAAGCATTTTTCTAGTTTCCAGACAATAACTTGTGTTCAAGTGTATGGATCTCTCTGAAATTGTACTGCAAGGTACCATACCACAAAGGGAAGGCTGGGATTGATGATGGGGTAATTGCCTCAATATTTAAGGAATTAGGGGCCAAAAAGGGGCAAAAAACAAGCATTTTTCTAGTTTCAGGACAATAACTTGTGTGTAAGTGTATGGATCTTTCTGAAATTGTACTACAAGGTTCCATATCACAAAGGGAAAGCTGGGTTTGAGTTTTAGGGTAATTGCCCTAAACGTTTAGGAATTTGGGGCCAAAAAGGGGCCAAAAAACACATTTTTATACGACCGAAAAAAAAATTTTGTGGTCGTATATTGGTATGACGTTGGCGTCGTCGTCGTCGTCGTCCGGCGTCGTCCGATGACACATTGGTTTTCGCACTCTAACTTTAGTTTAAGTGAATGGATCTCTATGAAATTTTACCACAAGGTTCAATACCACAAAAGGAAGGTTGGGATTGATTTTGGGGGTTATGGTACTAACAGTAAAGGAATTAGGGGCCAAAAAGGGGCCAAAAATAAGCATTTTTGTAACTTCCAGACATAACTTGTGTGTTAGTGTATGGATCTCTCTGACATTGTACCACAAGGTTCCATATCACAAAAGGAATGCTTGGATTGATTTTGGGGGTAATTGCCTCCAAATTTTAGGAATTAGGGGCCAAAAAAGGGGCAAAAAACAAGCATTTTTCTAGTTTCATGACAATAACTTGTGTGTAAGAGTATGGATCTTTCTGAAATTGTACTACAAGGTTCCATATCACAAAGGGAAAGCTGGAATTGAGTTTTGGGGTAATTGCCGAAACGTGTAGGAATTGGGGGGCCAAAAAGGGGCCAAAAATAAGCATTTTTCTAGTTTCCAGACAATAACTTGTGTTCAAGTGTATGGATCTCTCTGAAATTGTACTGCAAGGTACCATACCACAAAGGGAAGGCTGGGATTGATGATGGGGTAATTGCCTCAATATTTAAGGAATTAGGGGCCAAAAAGGGGCAAAAAACAAGCATTTTTCTAGTTTCAGGACAATAACTTGTGTGTAAGTGTATGGATCTTTCTGAAATTGTACTACAAGGTTCCATATCACAAAGGAAAAGCTGGGTTTGAGTTTTAGGGTAATTGCCCTAAACGTTTAGGAATTTGGGGCCAAAAAACACATTTTTATACGACCGAAAAAAAAATTTTGTGGTCGTATATTGGTATGACGTTGGCGTCGTCGTCGTCATCGTCTGGCGTCGTCCGGCGTCGTCCGATGACACATTGGTTTTCGCACTCTAACTTTAGTTTAAGTGAATGGATCTCTATGAAATTTTACCACAAGGTTCAATACCACAAAAGGAAGGTTGGGATTGATTTTGGGGGTTATGGTACTAACAGTAAAGGAATTAGGGGCCAAAAAGGGGCCAAAAATAAGCATTTTTGTAACTTCCAGACATAACTTGTGTGTTAGTGTATGGATCTCTCTGACATTGTACCACAAGGTTCCATATCACAAAAGGAATGCTTGGATTGATTTTGGGGGTAATTGCCTCCAAATTTTAGGAATTAGGGGCCAAAAAAGGGGCAAAAAACAAGCATTTTTCTAGTTTCATGACAATAACTTGTGTGTAAGAGTATGGATCTTTCTGAAATTGTACTACAAGGTTCCATATCACAAAGGGAAAGCTGGAATTGAGTTTTGGGGTAATTGCCGAAACGTGTAGGAATTGGGGGGCCAAAAAGGGGCCAAAAATAAGCATTTTTCTAGTTTCCAGACAATAACTTGTGTTCAAGTGTATGGATCTCTCTGAAATTGTACTGCAAGGTACCATACCACAAAGGGAAGGCTGGGATTGATGATGGGGTAATTGCCTCAATATTTAAGGAATTAGGGGCCAAAAAGGGGCAAAAAACAAGCATTTTTCTAGTTTCAGGACAATAACTTGTGTGTAAGTGTATGGATCTTTCTGAAATTGTACTACAAGGTTCCATATCACAAAGGGAAAGCTGGGTTTGAGTTTTAGGGTAATTGCCCTAAATGTTTAGGAATTTGGGGCCAAAAAGGGGCCGAAAAACACATTTTTATACGACAAAAAAAAAAATTTTGTGGTCGTATATTGGTATGACGTTGGCGTCGTCGTCGTCGTCTGGCGTCGTCCGGCGTCGTCCGAAGACACATTGGTTTTCGCACTCTAACTTTAGTGTAAGTGAATGGATCTCTATGAAATTTTACCACAAGGTTCAATACCACAAAGGGAAGGTTGGGATTGATTTTGGGGGTTATGGTACCAACAGTAAAGGAATTAGGGGCCAAAAAGGGGCCAAAAATAAGCATTTTTGTAACTTCCAGACATAACTTGTGTGAAAGTGTATGGATATCTCTGACATTGTACCACAAGGTTCCATATCACAAAAGGAATGCTGGGATTGATTTTGGGGGTAATTGTCTCAAAATTTTAGGAATTAGGGGCCAAAAAAGGGGCAAAAAACAAGCATTTTTCTAGTTTCATGACAATAACTTGTGTATAAGTGTATGGATGTTTCTGAAACTGTACTACAAGGTTCCATATCACAAAGGGAAAGCCTGAATTGAGTTTGGGGGTAATTGCCGAAACGTTTAGGAATTGGGGGCCAAAAAAGGATAAAAAATAAGCATTTTTCTAGTTTCCAGACAATAACTTGTGTTCAAGTGTATGGATCTCTCTGAAATTGTACTGCAAGGTACCATACCACAAAGGGAAGGCTGGGATTGATGATGGGGGTAATTGCCTCAATATTTTAGGAATTAGGGGCCAAAAAAGGGGCAAAAAACAAGCATTTTTCTAGTTTCATGACAATAACTTGTGTGTAAGTGTATAGATGTTTCTGAAATTGTACTACAAGGTTCCATACCACAAAGGGAAAGCTGGGATTGAGTTTGGGGGTAATTGCCAAATTATTTAGGAATTGGGGGCCAAAAAAGGGGCCAAAAAAAAGCATTTTTCTAGTGTCCAGACAATAACTTGTGTTCAAGTGTATGGATCTCTCTGAAATTGTACTGCAAGGTACCATACCACAAAGGGAAGGCTGGGATTGAGTTTGGGGGTGATGAATCATAAGGGGGTTCAAAAAATTTGGGGGGGGGGGGTTTTTTCCTTTTTTTTTCTTTTAAAATTTTCCTTTTTAAGTTGGTTATTTCTGATTTATATTTAAAAGCAAGTAATAATGATATGGTAGGTGAAACACACCAAACAGGATGTGTAAATTATTATATAATAAGTATTGTGCAATAGCAAGAAATTTTCAATTGCATAGTATTGCACAATAGCAAGAAATCTTCAATTGCACAGTATTGCGCAATAGCAAGAAATCTTCAATTGCACAGTATTGCGCAATAGCAAGAAATATCCAATAGCACAGTATTGCGCATTAGCAAGAAATTGTCAATTGTACAGTATTGCGCAATAGCAAGAAATATTTAATTGCACAGTATTGTGCAAAAGAAGATACTTCGTATAAATTGCTTATTTCTTGACCAATTTCAATGGGGTTTTATTCTTGAATTCTTGGGGTTCTTTAATATGCTGAATCTAAACATGTAATTAGTTTTTGGATTTTGGGCCCCGTTTTTAAATTGGTCCACATTGAGGTCCAAAGGGTCCAAAATTAAACTTTGTTTGATTTCATCAAAAATTTAATTATTGGGGTTCTTTGATATGCCGAATCTAACCGTGTATTTAGATTCTTAATTTTTTGGTTCCGTTTTCAAATTGGTCTACATTAAGGTCCAAAGGGTCCAAAATTAAACTTAGTTTGATTTTAACAAAAATTGAATTCTTAGGGTTCTTTGATATACTGAATCTAAACATGTATTTAGATTTTTGATTATGGGCCCAGTTTTCAAGTTGGTCCAAATCGGGGTCCAAAATTAAACTTTGTTTGATTTCAACAAAAATTGAATATATGGGGTTCTTTGATATGCTGAATCTAACCATGTATTTAGATTTTGGATATTGGACCATAATAGGTGAATGTCCAATTTAAAATTTTTAAGTTCTTAGACCACATTCATTCTGTGTCAGAAACCTATGCTGTGTCAAATATTTAATCACAATCCAAATGCAAAGCTGTATCAAGCTTGAATGTTGTGTCCATACTTGCCCCAACTGTTCAGGGTTTGACCTCTGCGGTCGTATCAAGCTGCGCCCTGCGGAGCATTTCATTCTAGTTTCCAGACAATAACTTGTGTTCAAGTGTATGGATCTCTCTGAAATTGTACTGCAAGGTACCATACCACAAAGGGAAGGCTGGGATTGAGTTTGGGGGTGATGAATCATAAGGGGGTTTAAAAAATTTGGGGGGGGATTTTTTTTTTTTCCTTTTTCCTTTTTTTCCTTTTTTTTTTCTTTTAAAATTTTCCATTTTAAGTTGGTTATTTCTGATTTATATTTAAAAGCAAATAATAATGATATGGTAGGAGATACACACCAAACAGGATGTGTAAATTATTATATAATAAGTATTGTGCAATAGCAAGAAATTCTCAATTGCACAGTATTGCAGAATAGCAAGAAATCTTCAATTGCACAGTATTGCGCAATAGCAAGAAATCTTCAATTGCACAGTATTGCGCAATAGCAAGAAATATCCAATAGCACAATATTGCGCAATAGCAAGAAATTGTCAATTGTACAGTATTGCGCAATAGCAAGAAATATTTAATTGCACAGTATTGTGCAAAAGAAGATACTTCGTATAAATTGCTTATTTCTTGACCAATTTCAATGGGGTTTTATTCTTGAATTCTTGGGGTTCTTTAATATGCTGAATCTAACCGTGTATTTAGTTTTTGGATTTTGGGCCCCGTTTTTAAATTGGTCCACATTGAGGTCCAAAGGGTCCATAATTAAACTTTGTTTGATTTCATCAAAAATTGAATTATTGGGGTTCTTTGATATGCCGAATTTAACCGTGTATTTAGATTCTTAATTTTTGGTTCTGTTTTCAAATTGGTCTACATTAAGGTCCAAAGGGTCCAAAATTAAACTTAGTTTGATTTTAACAAAAATTGAATTCTTAGGGTTCTTTGATATGCTGAATCTAAACATGTATTAAGATTTTTGATTATGGGCCCAGTTTTCAAGTTGGTCCAAATCGGGGTCCAAAATTAAACTTTGTTTGATTTCAACAAAAATTGAATATATGGGGTTCTTTGATATGCTGAATCTAACCATGTATTTAGATTTTTGATTTTTGGGCCCCGTTATCAACTTTGTCCACATTGAGGTCAAAAGGGTCCAAAATTAAACTTATTGATTTCATCAAAAATTGAATTCTTGGGGTTCTTTGATATGCTGAATCTAACCATGTATTTAGATTTTGGATATTGGACCATAATAGGTGAATGTCCAATTTAAAATTTTTTAAGTTCTTAGACCACATTCATTCTGTGTCAGAAACCTATGCTGAGTCAAATATTTAATCACAATCCAAATTCAGTGCTGTATCAAGCTTGAATGTTGTGTCCATACTTGCCCCAACTGTTCAGGGTTCGACCTCTGCGGTCGTATCAAGCTGCGCCCTGCGGAGCATTTGATTTTTCTTTAAAATTTTCCATTTTAAATTGGTTATTTCTGATTTATATATAAAAGCAAATAATAATGATATGGTTTAAATAGTTAGATAAAATTTTTTTTAGTTCTTAGACCACATTCATTCTGTGTCAGAAACCTATGCTGTGTCAAATATTTAATCACAATGCAAATTCAGTGCTGTATCAAGCTTGAATGTTCTTTGTATATGGATGCCTCATGTTATGAAGTTTCCGTCAGTCACATGTCCAATGTCATTGACCTCATTTTCATGGTTCAGTGACTACTTGAAAAAAAAGTTAAGATTTTTTTGTAATGTTAAATTCTCTCTTATTATAAGTAATAGGATTACTATATTTGGTATGTGCGTACCTTGCAAGGTCCTCATGCCTGTCAGACAGTTTTCACTTGACCTCGACCTCATTTCATGGATCAGTGAACAAGGTTAAGTTTTGGTGGTCAAGTCCATATCTCAGATACTATAAGCAATAGGTCTAGTATATTCGGTGTATGGAAGGACTGTAAGGTGTACATGTCCAACTGGCAGGTGTCATCTGACCTTGACCTCATTTTCATGGTTCAGTGGTTAAAGTTAAGTTTTTGTGTTTTGGTCTGTTTTTCTTATACTGTATGCTATAGGTCTACTATACTTGGTGTATGGAATGATTGTAAGGTGTACATGTCCAGCTGGCAGGTGTCATCTGACCTTGACCTCATTTTCATGGTTCAGTGGTTATAGTTAATTAAGTTTTTGTGTTTTGGTCCGTTTTTCTTATACTTTATGCAATAGGTCTACTATATTTGGTGTATGGAATGATTGTAAGGTGTACATGTCCAACTGGCAGGTGTCATCTGACTTTGACCTCATTTTCATGGTTCAGTGGTCAAAGTTAAGTTTTTGAGTTTTGGTCTTTTTTCTTATACTATATGCAATAAGTCAACTATATTTGGTGTATGGAAATATTCTATGATGTACATGTCAGTCTCGCAGGTTTTATTTGACCTTGACCTCATTTTCACGGTTCATTGCTCAGTGTTAAGTTTATGTGTTTCAGTCTGTTTTTCTTATATACTATAAGCAATAGGTCAACTATATTTGTTGTATGGAAGGATTGTAAGCTGTTCATGTCTGCCTGGCATGGTTCATCTGACCTTGACCTCATTTTCACGATTCATTGGTCAATGTTTAGTTTTCTTGGTTAAGTCTGTTTCTTAGAAACTATAAGCAATAGGTCAACTATATTTAGTGTATTGAATGATTGTAAGGTGTACATGTATTTCTCGTTTGGTTTATATGACCTTGACTTCATTTTCTTGGATCATGTTAAGTTTATGTAGTAGTTGTAGTAAAGCTTTCATTTAGGACTATCAACATAATATCAATGGTTAGTAAAGAAGGCGAGACATTTCAGCGTGTGCACTCTTGTTTTTATAAAGGGACATAACTCAAGAATGGTAAAAGTGTTCTCACCAAATTTCGTACTTAATCTGTACTATGTAGTAATATGAATTGTGTATAAGTTTCATAACATTTGGTTGAGGCAAACTAGAGTTAGAAAACAGAAACAAAAAAATTGTACTTGATCTTAGTTTTGTGGTAATGATTATTCAATATTGTGTACATAAGTTTCAGAATGTTTGGTTGGGGCAAACTTAAGTTACAGAATGGAAACTAAAAATTTTGCAATCTTTCGATTTATAAACGGGCATAACTCAATAATGGTTAAAGTGACACTACCCAAATTCAACTTGATCTGTGTTTTATCAGTGGAAGTCAAAATTAAACATTGCATTGAATAAAGCATTGATTGTAGTTGATTCAACTATAATCATGGACAAAGGAAGATAACTCCAATTTTAAAAATTACTTGATATTTAGAAGAAAATAAAAATTTTGCTATTTTTATACGACCGCAAAAAAAATTTGCGGTCGTATATTGGTATGACGTTGTCATCGTCCTCGTCCGAAGACACATTGGTTTTCTCACTTTAACTTTAGTTTAAGTGAATGGATCTCTATGAAATTTTACCATAAGGTTCAATACCACAAAAGGAAGGTTGGGATTGATTTTGGGGGTTATGGTACCAACAGTTGTAAGGAATTAGGGGCCAAAAATAAGCATTTTTGTAACTTCCAGACATAACTTGTGTGTTAGTGTCTGGATCTCTCTGACATTGTATCACAAGGTTCCATATCACAAAGGGAATGCTGGGATTGATTTTGGGGGTAATTGCCTCAAAATTTTAGGAATTAGGGGCCAAAAAAGGGGCAAAAAACAAGCATTTTTGTAGTTTCATGACAATAAATTCTGTGTAAGTGTATGGATCTTTCTGAAATTGTACTACAAGGTTCCATATCACAAAGTTAAAGCTGGAATTGAGTTTGGGGGTAATTGCCCAAAACATTTGGGAAAAAGGGGCCAAAAAGGGGCCAAAAATAAGCATTTTCTAGTTTCCAGACAATAACTTGTGTTCAAGTGTATTGATCTCTATGAAATTGTACTGCAAGGTACCATACCACAAAGGAAAGGCTGGGATTGATTTTGGGGGTAATTGCCTCAAAATTTTAGGAATTAGGGGCCAAAAAGGGGCAAAAAACAAGCATTTTTCTAGTTTCAGGACAATAACTTGTGTGTTAGTGTATGGATCTTTATGAAATTGTACTACAAGGTTCCATATCACAAAGGGAAAGCTGGGTTTGAGTTTGGTGGTAATTGCCCTAAACGTTTAGGAATTTGGGGCCAAAAAGGGGCCAAAAAACAAGCATTTTTCTAGTTTCAAGACAATAACTTATGTTCAAGTGTATGGATCTCTCTGAAATTGTACTGCAAGGTACCATACCACAAAGGGAAGGCTGGGATTGAGTTTTGGGGGTGATGAATCATAAGGGGGTTCAAAAAATTGGGGGGGGGGGATTTTTGTTTCCTTTTTTTCCTTTTTTTTCTTTAAAATTTTCCATTTTAAATTGGTTATTTCTGATTTATATATAAATCAAATAATAATGATATGGTTTGAATAGTTAGATAAAATTTTTTTTAGTTCTTAGACCACATTCATTCTGTGTCAGAAACCTATGCTGTGTCAAATATTTAATCACAATCCAAATTCAGTGCTGTATCAAGCTTGAATGTTGTGTCCATACTTGCCCCAACTGTTCAGGGTTCGACCTCTGCGGTCGTGTCAAGCTGCGCCCAGGGGAGCATTTTATTCTATTTGTTAACACGCATAACTCTAGAACAGTTGTGTATAAGTTTTATAACATTTGGTTGGGACAAACTAAAGCTAGAGAACGGAAACAAAAAATTCAGCAATTTTTATGTTTATAAAGGGACATAACTCAAGAATGGTAAAAGTGTTCTCACCAAATTTCGTACTTAATCTGTATTATGTAGTAATATGCATTGTGTATAAGTTTCATAACATTTGGTTGAGGCAAACTAAAGTTAGAAAACGGAAACAAAAAAATTGTACTTGATCTTAGTTTTGTGGTAATGATTATTGTGTACATAAGTTTCAGAATGTTTGGTTGGGGCAAACTTAAGTTACAGAATGGAAACTAAAAATTTTGCAATCTTTCGATTTATAAAGGGGCATTACTCAATAATGGTTAAAGTGACACTACCCAAATTCAACTTGATCTGTGTTTTATCAGTGGAAGTCAAAATTAAACATTGCATTGAATAAAGCATTGATTGTAGTTGATTCAACTATAATCATGGACAGAGGAAGATAACTCCAATTTTAAAAATTACTTGATATTTAGAAGAAAATGAAAATTTTGCTATTTTTATACGACCGCAAAAAAAATTTGCGGTCGTTTATTGGTATGACGTTGTTGTCGTCGCCATCCGAAGACACATTGGTTTTCGCACTTTAACTTTAGTTTAAGTGAATGGATCTCTATGAAATTTTACCATAAGGTTCAATACCACAAAAGGAAGGTTGGGATTGATTTTGGGGGTTATGGTACCAACAGTTAAGGAATTAGGGGCCAAAAAGGGGCCAAAAATAAGCATTTTTGTAACTTCCAGACATAACTTGTGTGTTAGTGTATGGATCTCTCTGACATTGTACCACAAGGTTCCATATCACAAAGGGAATGCTGGGATTGATTTTTGGGGTAATTGCCCTAAAATTTTAGGAATTAGGGGCCAAAAAAGGGGCAAAAAACAAGCATTTTTGTAGTTTCATGACAATAACTTGTGTGTAAGTATATGGATCTTTCTGAAATTGTACTACAAGGTTCCATATCACAAAGGGAAAACTGGAATTGAGTTTGGGGGTAATTGCCCAAAACATTTAGGAATAAGGGGCCAAAACCAAGCATTTTTCTAGTTTCCAGACAATAACTTGTGTTCAAGTGTATGGATCTTTCTGAAATTGTACTGCAAGGTACTATACCACAAAGGGAAGGCTGGGATCGATTTTGGGGGTAATTGCCTCAAAATTTTTGGAATTAGTGGCAAAAAACAAGCATTTTTCTAGTTTCTGGACAATAACTTGTGTGTAAGTGTATGGCACTTTATGAAATTGTACTACAAGGTTCCATATCACAAAGGGAAAGCTGGGTTTGAGTTTGGGGGTAATTGCCTTAAATGTTTAGGAATTTGGGGCCAAAAAAGGGCCTAAAAACAAGCATTTTTCTAGTTTCCAGACAATAACTTGTGTTCAAAATGTATGGATCTCTCTGAAATTGTACTGCAAGGTACCATACTACAAAGGGAAGGCTGGGATTGAGTTTGGGGGTGATGAATCATAAGGGGGTTCAAAAAATTTGGGGGAGGGATTTTATTTTCCTTTTTTTCCTTTTTTTTCTTAAAATTTTCCATTTTAAATTGGTTATTTCTGATTTATATATAAAAGCAAATAATAATGATATGGTTTGAATAGTTAGATAAAAAATTTTTTAGTTCTTAGACCACATTCATTCTGTGTCAGAAACCTATGCTGTGTCAAATATTTAATCAGAATCCAAATTCAGTGCTGTATCAAGCTTAAATGTTGTATCCATACTTGCCCCAACTGTTCAGGGTTCGACCTTTTCGGTCGTATCAAGCTGTGCCCAGGGGAGCATTTTATTCCATTTATAAAGGGGCATAACTCTAGAACGGTTAAAGTGACGCCACCAAAATTCAACGTGATCTGTGTTTTGTGGTAATAAGCATTGTGTATAAGTTTCATAACATTTGGTTGAGGCAAACTTAATTTGAAAAATTATGAATAGAGAATAATGGGGTGCAAAAGAAAAAAGAATTACTGTAAAAATTAAAAAATTGGGTTATAAAATACTGATTAAAAAAATAAACTATGTACAGAATAAAGAAATCATGCAATAACAAGTAAATCTAATAGTAAAATGATATTCATGAGGATTAGGCCAACTAAAATTAATTAGTAAATTTTCATTAAGCTTTTTGAAGTAAATGGGCAGTTGGGAGTCTTTTACCTTTTTTTCCCTTTTTTTTTCCCTCTGCAACCCTTTCGTAATGTTGTCTTCCTATGAAAGGGTAATAATAAGATTATATCATATATATATATATATATATATTAAGATCCATTTTGTTACATCTGGTAATCAATTTATTTGGCAATTGCCAATGGCAGTCAGCAGGGTTTTAGAACATCGGTTGTTCAAACTGTTAGTCAAATGCATATTGTTAAAATATACTTTTTCACTTTTGGAAAATGTTGTTTGTGCTGTTTTTGGTCTAAATTCAGCACAAACAACATTTTCCAAAAGTGAAAAAGTATATTTTAACAATAGAAATTTGTTTTACATGCACACATATAAAAATTGAGGTTTTTATCCAACGCAATCATAGGTTTGAACATTGTTTTCAATTTAGACGTGTATATATATATATAAAGTATTCTAAACTTTTTCAAATTCTAAAGTAAATATTTCTGATTGGGAATCACTGTTCTAATTGCTTTAGAAAACTGTTTTTAGTAAATAGCAAAAATGAGGAGAAATGCTCTCTTTTAGACTTCCTATATCAAATTTCTTTTGCTTTCTAAGCTAGCCTACGGTTTAATGTGCCCATAAAATGAAGCATACATGTATACATTTGTATAAAACACAAGTATTATGAGTAGAGTAAAATGAAAACTCAACTTGTGTTGAAAATACAAGGGTCGATGCTTTTAAGATTCTTATGCAAGGTGCAAATATAATTTTATTAACTAGTTATAACTATAAACATACAAATGAACTTAACATAAAGAACAAGTTGTTTAATTACTTTAATGAGGGGCTGGAATCAGAGGGTGTTTGATGTTTGTTAACAAAAAGGGACAGTTTTGGGGTATATTTTGCTATATGTTGGCCGACTTTTTGTATTCAAGTCAATATACAGTTCTAAACAGTGTAAATTGTATTGAACAAGATCGTGTTTGGGTCAATTTCTTTATCCCAATCATGTTTTCATACCTATGTGTGCCACGATTCTTACGCTTTGGATATCACAAGTCCAAATTTACTGACAAAAACTCTTTGTATGAATAAAAAAATCCACGGTTTTCTAATCACTGAAATTTGTGACATACCGTGATTTGCGTTCTTGGACACGCTTATCACTCGTACCCGAATAAATCAGGCCTTTCCTCTAATTAATCGCTGTTCTCAGAAGATAATATAGTCATCAAAGAGCAGCAAAATATATTGACTGAATTATTTTGGTTAAATTGCTCGAAGAAATATGAAAACCAAATTTGCAACAGGAGGTTTTGAATGAAATGAAGTTGTTAGCGTGGTTAACAGTAAAAAAATTATACAAAGAGTTTTTAGTCCCCTACCAACGAAGTCAAAGGGGACTTTAGGTTTGCACTCCGTCCGTCTGTCCATCCGTCAGTCCGGCAAATCAGTTTTCCACAGCTTTTTTTGTCATGCTTGAAGATATTGATTTGAAAATTGGTATATAGTTTTATCATGACAAGTTACAGATCCAGTTCGAATTTTGTTCCGGTCTGATGATTTTGTGCAGAGTTATTGTCCTTGAACTTAAAAAATTCACTTAAATAATCAGTTTTCAACACTTTTTTTTCGTCATGCTTTTTGACTTGATATTTATATATAGTTTACACCATGACAAGTTATAGATCAAGTTAGAATTTTGTTCCAATGCAATGAAATTTTAGCAGGTAGGGGACTATGTAGTGCCATGCAATGCTCACAGAATGCTTGTTGTCAGTAAATTCGGACTTGAATGATATCCAAAGTGTAAGAATTGTGGCACACATAGTGACATAGGTATGAAAACATGTCTCAGCATAAGACAGTCTCAATATCAGTATAAATTATGTTAATTTTAGATTTTAAACGATCCTGATACATTTTTAGAAATTGACAACTTGTATATAATAACGACGATATTCTGGTGGATAGAACTTTTAATAGTGTGGATAGAACTGTTATTAGTGTGGATAGAACTTTAAATTTGTAGATAGTACTTTTAATAGTGAGAAATAACATTTTAATAATTTGTATGTGTGGTGGTGGATATCATACTCCAGATTTTGGAGGTGTGCCTTGACGGCAGCACATATTATACAGATTACAAATTACAGTAACAGACATGAAAAAATCTGGAAATTGTAAATTTTTAAAAATTAAAAAAACGGGGCAGGATGATTTCATAGGGGCGGGCAGGGATGAAAATCTTTCAACTAATTTTAATTGGCCTATAAAGAACCAGCGTTATTTTTATAGGTAAAGAAAAATTCCCCCAAAAATTAAAGAATACAGAAATGAAGAAGGACCCCTAATCCAGACCCTCCTTGATGATAGAGCACAGCACAGTTCATAAAAAAATGAATTAAGACTGACACTGTCACTGTATAATAAATGTATTTTGCAGGCAACCAGCTGCAACAGAAAAACAACTGAAAAAGACAATGAGCTGGCAAAGTATATTATCATGATTATAGTAATAATGGTGATAGGAATTGCAATTGACTTAAAACATCCGTTTGCACGTTTTACAACTAGTGGAATAATCGCAGATAAACTTTTCCTGATGCATTGGAAAGCTGTGGAAATACTACAAGTTGATCTAGGTTTGAAATGCATGTTCATTACAAGCGATGAGAATGATGATAATCATGATAATAGACACTCATTAGTTAACAGAGCTAATATTTTCTCACCTGACCAGAGATATATTTATTTTGTGTCTGATGTGCCACACTTGATAAAAACAACCCGCAATTGTTTTTTCGAATTAAAACTTTTATGAAATGACAAGGAAGATGTGGAAGGATGGCAAGGACATTTCATGGTTGCACATTGTGGATTTGCTACAAGAACACTGCACTGGACTATATAGAGTGTGCCCAAAACTCACAAGAGCCCATATTAATTTTGGACTATTCTTGTGTATGAAAGTGAATTTTGCTGCTCAAATACTGAGTTCAACAGTGGCAACAATTGTTTTATTGGAGACAATGTGTCAGAAAAAATGTCATTTCCAGTGTCAGATGATAGCTTACTGTAAGCTGATTCCAAAATATATGGTTTCTATACACTTCTGTTTGAAATAAGGGAGATAATTTGTAACTTCCGGTTTGAAAAATGTCACTTCCGGTATTATAAGATAGTTTACTTGACACTGATTCCAAAAATATATGATTCTATATACTTTTACTTAAAATAAGTACAAAAAATAGCTACTCTCATATGGAATTTTCAGATCTCTTCAATCAAAATTATTCTTGACAACCTGAGGATTTAACGAGCAATTTGGCAAAATAAATTTATCGTTATCTTAATTCTTTTATGGTTGCAAAGGAGTAGTACGAACAAGAAAAACAGTGTTCGAGAGAAAACTCTTACAAGGGAAAGTGTTCAGTTAAGCAGTGTCAGTTTCAAAAGCGTATAGACTGTTCATATATCATATACAAAATATCTTAGCGACATCTTTTGAAATAACAATACAGCGCAAGAAAAAAATTAGGCGGAAGAAAAAAAAAATAAAATTTAAAAACCCAATTGTCTTTCTACCCAAAACAATATATTTTGATATGATAAAAGGAAAATCAGGTTTAAAATGTCATTTCCAGTGTCATATGATAGCTTACTGTGCACTGATTCCAAAAATATATGATTTCTATACACTTTTGTTTGAAATAAGGGAGACAATTGTTACTTCCAGTTTGAAAAATGTCACTTCCTGTATAATAAGATAGTGTACTTGACACTGATTCAAAAAATATATGGTTTTATACACTTTTACATTAAACAAGCATTATGTGAGTATTGCCCAGCAATACATAGTCCCCTACCTGTTAAAAATTCATTGCACTGGAACAAAATGCTAACTTATTATACGACTGCAAAAATTAAAAATTTTTTGGTTGTATATTGGTATGACGTTGGCGTCATCGTCGTCGTCGTCATCGTCATCCAAAGACACATTGGTTTTCGCACTCTAACTTTAGTTTAAATGAATGGATCTCCATGAAATTTTACCATAAGGTTCAATACCACAAAAGGAAGGTTGGAATTGATTTTGGGGGTTATGGTACGAACAATTAAGGAATAGGGGCCAAAAATAAGCATTTTTGTAACTTCCAGACAATAACTTGTGTGTAAGTGTATGGATCTCTCTGACATTGTACCACAAGGTTCCATATCACAAAGGGAAGGCTGTAATTGATTTTGGGGGTAATTGCCTCAAAATTTTAGGAATTAGGGGCCAAAAAAGGGGCAAAAAACAAGCATTTTTCTAGTTTCATGACAATAACTTGTGTGTAAGTGTTTGGATATTTCTGAAATTGTACTACAAGGTTCCATATCACAAAGGGAAAGCTGGCATTGAGTTTGGGGGTAATTGCCGAAACGTTTAGGAATTGGGGGCCAAAAATAAGGATTTTTCTAGTTTCCAGACAATAACTTGTGTTCAAGTGTATGGATCTCTCTGAAATTGTACTGCAAGGTACCATACCACAAAGGGAAGGCTGGGATTGATGATGAGGGTAATTGCCTCAATATTTTAGGAATAAGGGGCCAAAAAGGGGCAAAATACAAGCATTTTTCTAGTTTCAGGACAATAACTTGTGTGTTAGTGTATGGATCTTTCTGAAATTGTACAACAAGGTTCTATATTACAAAGGGAAAGCTGGGTTTGAGTTTGGGGGTAATTGCCCAAAACGTTAAGGAATTGGGGGCCAAAAAGGGGCCAAAAAACACATTTTTCTAGTTTCCAGACAATAACTTGTGTTGAAGTGTATGAATCTCTCTGAAATTGTACTGCAAGGTACCATACCACAAAGGGAAGGCTGGGATTGAGTTTGGGGGTGATGAATCATAAGGGGGTTCAAAAAATTTTGGGGGGGATTTTTTTTTTTTCTTTTAAATTTTTCCATTTTAAGTTGGTTATTTCTGATTTATATTTAAAAGCAAATAATAATGATATGGTAGGAGATACACACCAAACAGGATGTGTAAATTATTATATAATAGCTATTGTGCAATAGCAAGAAATTTTCAATTGCACAGTATTGCACAGTAGCAAGAAATCTTCAATTGCACAGTATTGCGCAATAGCAAGAAATATCCAATAGCACAATATTGCGCAATAGCAAGAAATTGTCAATTGTACAGTATTGCGCAATAGCAAGAAATATTCAATTGCACAGTATTGTGCAAAAGAAGATACTTCGTATAAATTGTTTATTCTTGACCAATTTCATTGGGGTTTTATTCTTGAATTCTTTGGGTTCTTTAATATGCTGAATCTAACCGTGTATTAAGTTTTTGGATTTTGGGCCCCGTTTTTAAATTGGTCCACATTGAGGTCCAAAGGGTCCAAAATTTAACTTTGTTTGATTTCATCAAAAATTGAATTATTGGGGTTCTTTGATATGCCAAATCTAACCATGTATTTAGATTCTTAATTTTTGGTTCTGTTTTCAAATTGGTCTGCATTAAGGTCCAAAGGGTCCAAAATTAAACTTAGTTTGATTTTAACAAAAATTGAATTTTTAGGGTTCTTTGATATGCTGAATCTAAACATGTATTTAGATTTTTGATTATGGGCCCAGTTTTCAAGTTGGTCAAAATCGGGGTCCAAAATTAAACTTTGTTTGATTTCAACAAAAATTGAATATATGGGGTTCTTTGATATGCTGAATCTAACCATGTATTTAGATTTTTGATTTTTGGGCCCCGTTATCAACTTTGTCCACATTGAGGTCAAAAGGGTCCAAAATTAAACTTTGTTTGATTTCATCAAAAATTGAATTCTTGGGGTTCTTTGATATGCTGAATCTAACCATGTATTTAGATTTTGGATATTGGACTATAAAAGGTGAAAGTCCAATTTAAAATTTTTAAGTTCTTTGACCACATTCATTCTGTGTCAGAAACCTATGCTGTGTCAAATATTTAATCACAATCCAAATTCAGAGCTGTATCAAGCTTGAATGTTGTGTCCATACTTGCCCCAACTGTTCAGGGTTCGACCTCTGCGGTCGTATCAAGCTGCGCCCTGCGGAGCATTTTATCTATAACTTGTCGTGGTGTAAATTAAAAAAAAAAAATTCAAGCATGACCAAAAAAAAATGTGGAAAATTGATTATTTGAGTGAATTTTCTTAGTCCAAGGACCATAACTCTGCACAAAATCATTAAACCGGAACAAAATTTGAACTTGATCTGTAATTTGTCATGATAAAAATATATACCAATCATCAAATCAATATCTTCAAGCATGACCAAAAAAAATCCGGAAAACTGATTATTTGAGTGAATTTTCTAAGTTCAAGGACCATAACTCTGCACAAAATCGTGACACCGGAATAAAATTCGAACCTGATCTGTAACTGTCCTGATTAAACAATACACCAAATATCTAATCAATATCTTCATGCACAAAGAAAAAAAGTGGGGAAAACTGATTTGACGGATGGACAGACAGACGGACGGAGTGCAAACCTAAATTCCCCTTCAACTTCGTCGGTAGGGGACTAATAAGTACAAAAAATAGCTACTTCCGGTTCACACAAGGCCACTTCTGGTTGGATTTTTCAAGGTCTTATGGCTTGCAAGAAGTCCCATGGCTTTATCATGTATAAATATGAAGTTAAAGCAAAGGTCAAAATCTAGAACTTTAAATTTGCCTAAGAACCTTGACCTCAATTTCAAGGTCATCAAACAAGGATCTCATATCAAAAGACCTTATTTCTCTACTATGTATTGTTAATAAGTTATATTAACATTCATCTTATTTTTAACATTCTAGGGGAGGAAACTATCAATGTTGCCACATCACTTTAAAGAAAAATTTCCTATTACGACAGATCGCAACAAACAATTTAGTGAAAATCTTTTGTCGATATATATTAGTTTCTTAGGAGTAGCATGCACAAGCAAAAGCAAAAAATTTAAACATGATCTTGACCTTTCACCTGGACCTCATTTTCTTCTTGGTGGACCCAGCTGGACCTCAAATCAAAAGACCCTAGGTCTCTATCACCTATGATTTACCAGTTACAATTACCTTTCACTTATTTTAAATACAGAAGGGGAAATAACTCTCATATGGAGTCTCCAGAACGCTTCGGTCAAAATTTAAATGTAACATTCTGAGGATATGACGAGCAATTTGGTAAAAAAAATTTGTTGCTTTCTTTGACAGTTGCGAAGGAGTAGTGTAGCCTTTTCATCTAAACTTGGGTTTTTAATGTAAAATTAGAATAACAGGTAAAAAAGCTTTTGTGAGACCTCGAAATTGAAAGTATTATCCTTTTTCTTTTATTTAACTATTGTTAATCAATAAAAAATCACAAAAAAAATAATTGTGCTTTGGTACTGGCTGTTATCAAAGGGAGACAATTCAATCTCAATCTCAATGTGTTTTAATCACAGGAGAGATAAATCTTGTTACATGAGGAGTTATCTCATCAACTATATAGATATAAGAAGATGTGGTATGAGTGCCAATGAGACAACTCTCCATCCAAGTCAAAATTTATAAAAGTAAACCATTATAGGTCACAGTACGGTCTTCAACACGGAGCCTTGGCTCACACCGAACAGTAAGCTATAAAGGGCCCTAAAAAATTACTAGTGTAAAACCATTCAAACGGGAAAACCAACGGTCTAATCTATATAAAAAACGAGAAACGAGAAACACTTATGAACCACATCAACAAACGACAACTACTGAACATCAGATTCCTGACTTAGGACAGGTGCAAACAAATGCAGCGGGTTTAAACGTTTTAATGGTACCAAACCTTCACCCTTTTTCCTGAAACAATAGTGTAACATCACAACATAGAAAGACACACTATAAAATATCAACTGAAATAGCTTAACTCAATCAAAGGACATACTAACACCATTGAACATACACTGAACAAATAAATTTGACCTATGACACAATGTAAATACAAAATAAATAAACTAAGGGAAGAATAATAAAAGTAACATGTTATATCGGTAAGAAATGTTAAACAATTAAAGAAAAACAATATGCTCGAACAAAAA